GTGTCCTAATGTGTGTCTTTAAATTATACAAGCGTTCAAAGCCTGCATGGCAGATCTCACATACATGTCTTTTGTTCATGTCCTTGTGGGTAAAATTATGGAGAGTTGATTGATTTGGTGTGGTATTTTGCTGGGGTATGTATCCCATATTCCAACCTGAAAGAGAAACCAAACATTAATGAATAAAATAGACATGCTAAGCTTCTATATTATCACACATGTGTAAACCATTGACAAATCCCAGGATTTGAAAACATGATTGCCACAATTTACTGACAGGCAGGCAGCTGTCAGTTTTGAATCCTAAAAAAACAAGCCTTCAAAAAAATTTCAAAGATTTTTTATGAGAATTTAGATTTGATGAGTATCAGTATGTTTCCATCAGGGAATTTCTCAACTTAATTCGCCTGCAATAAAGAAGTGACTTTATCCATAACATTGTCATGTTTATCAGTACAATGTGTAGTATGCAATCCTATTGTTAAATGTTCATGCAATCCTTTTTCAATCATCCTCCTATATCAAATCTCCTATGCACAAATCTATATTATCAAATATGTGTGATCTCTATATTTTTTATTTGATTAATTGTGAAGTGTCCCATCATAATATCTAGTTTGATAAAACATCTGTTTTGCAAATATGGTTGTAGGCTTCTATCCTCCTTCAGTTGAATTATACAAATTCTGCATTCTATTACATTGAGCCACATCTGATCTTTGCAATATTTTGACATAAAATCAACTGCAATCTTTTTGCATTTATTACATGCAACCTTCTCCCACTTCATCATCAGTAAGTTCTTTTATCTTGCTGAAATCAAATCCCTTTTGGCATATGCAATGGAGTATCCATAGTTTCAGATGCATGATGGTATATGTCATGTGCTTGCAGTGATGCATTATTCGATGTGTCGTCTGTCTGTAGTGTTGCATTATGGGTAGTATCAACCATTTTTCTAATCCTCTTATTTGACTTGGATCAGTTTATCCCATTTTGTTGGCTCCATATTTATATCTTAGAAGTGATGAACATTTAGCTACAGTATTCCATTAGCTGACAGACATGTAGTCTCCAAGGCAACAGTAACTCCCCGGAGTAGCAAATTCCACTGGACAAAACATCTTATCAAATCACTTGGGATTTTGTTTTGATAGAAATAACCAGGATTAGTAGCAGTAGAGTTGTATTGTCCAAATTTCAGACCAAATCTGATAATTTATTATCAAAAAACTACTTTTTCATGAGAAATGGTGGCCATTTTGAATTTTGGCATCTTTGTAGCACCTTTTGAGAGCATCAGAATATAAAATTGAAAAATTTGAACTAAATTTGAACTAATATTAGAAATTCCTTCTCCAGTAGAGGCCCTAAACAGGTCTACATAAGATCTGAACCAAATCTGTGAACACTCAGGCATTTGATGAATGATTTTAAAACAATTTCTGGCAAAGCTATTCTATAAGATCAAAACAGCAAAGTAAAATTAGTAAACACATTCCAATCATGTAAATTCCACGTTTTTCAACTTAGAAACAAATTACAGCAAAGCTTGTATGAATGGAACACCTTTGATACCTCATAATAGAGCTCCGCTTGGGAGATGATCTACATAGTGATTTGTTATACATTAAGTAAATGAGAAATGGTACTTTTGATAATTGCTCCACTTCTACAGGCATTCAATTTCTAGAGGTGTTCTACTTTACATGTTTTACTGTACTAAACCATGGGCAAGTCAATAAAAGATGCACCCATTAAACTGAATTTGATCTTAACCTCACAAGAGAAGGTACTAGTAATATACAACCTTGGCATGTCTAATAGAACACATGAATAAGGCGAAGTTGATTTCCTCAACTCAGTCTAATGCACAGTAAGTGGCTCCCTTGAGGTGCTATATACATTCACGGGCCAATTATCTCAATGATCGAGTACACGTATCTTGTAACTGTGCATCCAACTGTTTTTTTTGTTGATTAGAATGATCGCATAGTTTGACATAGATAAATATTTTCTGCTATGTGATATTCTAACAATGCAACCATGATATTAAATCATTTCAAGAGAGATATTAGGAGGTAAATTCAATAGCCGGCACTATGAAATAGTTTTGGCTGAAATAGTTTCATTGTAGAAACACCCATACATGCATATCAGGTTATTCTCTATCTGTGGCGACCTGCTGTTACGTGAATGCTGAAAATAATAATTTCTGACTTATGCCTGATTAAATCAATATGATTGCCATCATGCAAACTTTACAAACTGAAATCACCCCAAAATGGTTTTAATAATATCACGATCCTCATTTTTGTAATCTAATATCTATGTACCTGTACCTACAAAAGTAAAATCAAAACAAGAAAGATTTCTTCTCTCATGGTAGTTCTAAGGGAAAAAATCACAACCGTGCCTGTTTTTTACCCACAAATGAAGCCATGGAGTTTCATTTTAATTGTACACAGTACTTCATGGCTGTATATAGGTTTCATTTTAACGAAAGGTTAACATATTTGAAGACTAGTAAACAAGAAGTATGTTTTTACACCTTATTAATCAGATATTATGTTATACACACTTTTATGTTACACACACAAAAATATAATAAAAAGTAAATATATGCAAATCATTATACAGACATTGATAGAAATGAAATGCCCCGATTTGGTGAACATGACAATGTATGTTTAGATTTTTTCAAGACTTGAATTTCCTTTTTTTATTCACTCTTGGGGGGGGGGGAGATTTCAAGACTTCAGATAGGTGTGTTGTGTGATCTTGGTTGGGTGTGTGTGATATACCCATATCTCCTTTTATGGGAATCTCTGGGAATTTCATCCATGATTCTTAGTTAAGGGGAAGAAGACCCTGAGGAAAGAAAGACTATGTGCTCTGGTTATAAAAGAGGTGAAGAAGCTCTTCAAGTGTAAGCTATGGTGATGAAGACTGTTTTTTAGACAACCCCCCCTTGGAAAAATCCTGGGAATGCCCCTGTTAATATCATGGAATGAAAGGTCATGTATTGGTCTGGTTTGTATATGGGCTTTATCTTACAGGAAATATAGATATCATATCATCCCTCATGATAATAGCCATATGTCCTCCTTGTAAATATCCTTTATTATCATTCTGGTATTTTAGTCAATAATCAAAACATCAAATCCTACTACGAACTAGTCAGCCAAATTAATTTATTTGGGAATAAAAGTGGTAAAGGGCTCTGAGCCAATTTCAGGGTAGTTACACGACAATCGAGACAGGACATTCACATCAGGTTACCATAGAAATAAATACCAATATTTATTTTTAAAGGAAGGGCCTTTTCATTCAATTTGGTCAGTCTATATTCAAGAAACAGGTTTCCAGAAACAGACTTCTGAAATAAGTCTTATTAAATTTTTATCATTAATTAAGAAGAAGGTGCTATAGTTAATTTACATAATATATATCATGATGCCAAAACCACTGGTTATTATACTGAACAATACACACACAGGGTTAAATTCACCAAGTCTTAGTTCATTGCTTTTCTATCAATGTGCTACTTGCTCAAAATATCTACATTTTACAGTCCATGTTATACTGTCATCTATATTTGCAATCGGAATAAATGAATATTTTATCTTTAGTCAACCCAACAATTTCCTTCCTCGAATTTCAGGGACTTTGCAATGGGACTTTGACCATGCTTCGATTTTTTAAATACACTTAAAGAAAACTTTTATTTGGCGAGGCATCAAATGAGGCTATTACTGCCTCACCTTCCACATGCCGTGCTATATTCCTAATTTAGGAGCAGCTAAGATAACAGCTGCAGATATCTAATTTTCCGTTTCATGTTCTTATGCATAGCTGTGTTCTGAATATTGATCCAAAGCCAGTAGCTTGACATTTATATGACATGGCAGTACACGAATTGTTTCATGTTCAGCCAACATGAGAATATTGATTTTTTCATCTTTTCAAATTACTGTCTGTTGTCATAACTCATAGCATCTTTCTTTTTCATCTCAGGGCTGAGAGGTAATGAGATGTCATGGTTTATCATGATGGTTTGTTGTGGTTATACAGCTTTCTTAATTCATCTTAACAGGCATTACCGGCACATGTTATAGCCCATGCTAGACAATGAAATTACATGACATTTTTTCAAATTAACCTAAATTTCCCATCAATGCTTGCAAGACCAAGAAGTTATTTTTCAATGACAATTATGAACAGAATGATGACAATTTGGGGGTCTAATAAAGGCAATTCGGGGGTAATGGCAATTTCATCATCAACCAACACTGAAAAAAGCAATAGCCTTGACACCAATGAAAAATTAATGAAATAATAAAATTCCAATAGACTAGATGTGAGTAGAAATAATCTTGATTAACGTACAATTAAATATCCAAAATTCAGTCAAAGTGATGACATAATATGGTTTTGAAAATTGTTTATCAACTTTGAAAATTAATAAAAAATGTGACTTCTAGTTCAGGTTGACTCCCATACAAAATCACAAAAAGTGAAATATCTTTTCTTGTATTTGACAGAAAACATTTTCTTTTACTGGACATATTTCAATTTGTACAACTATAGATACATAAGGGTTATATCAAAATTGAACCACTAAAACAGATGTAATTTATGTTAAATGGAACTTTCTACTATGCCCGCCATGCTATCTGACCCGCACATAGTGATGAGACTGGTAACTACCTACTCGTATCTGCATTATTGAACCCGATTAAACTTTCATTTTGAGTTTGGACAAAAAGAAAATTATCAACTTATTGTGTTACAGTGTATCTCAAGTTTTCTATGTTGAGTGGTCTAACTATTGTTTTTTTTGTTCCTTCTGGAGTCAGTAACTCAATTATTTTGACAATTCACTAAGTCTATTCAAAATCTTAAAGTTGTCATTTAAAAAACTTCTGTAATGTGCTACTTACTTAAGGACGGACTCGTAGATATTTTGAGCAAGCCTAAATAAAGAAATGGATTCTCACCTGCACTGTGATCAGCCATGTTATCTTGAGAAGTTGCGTCTTGAGAATCATCCGGCATCCAACTAGCACCTGCGGTTGTATCTCCATTATAACCACCATCATCGTCATCTTCCTCATCACCAAGTTCAATTGTGATAGGCTCTTCTTGTTTTATATTTGCACTGTCAATGTTTTGGTTTATACTAGTTATCAGAGTAGATGTGGAAGCTTGGGTGGCAAGTTTAGCTTGTTTCGCAGCAGAGTGGTCAGGAGTGGTAGGTTCTTCTATAGTATCATTGGAATTGGATAGGTGGCGCTTCTGGCCTATAGGAGATGATATTGGCTCATCTGGAAAATGAAAACATTGACTTCTGAAAAGATGTCGTTCTTTTGTTTCTTTTAAAATATTTTTAATTTCCTGACCAGAGAGATGTTATGACCAAAAATCTGCACTTAATGGTAAGACAGGGTATTGCCATTTTGAATTGAGGAGAGATTACATGTACTTATACTACAGTTTTATATGGTACCTTTTATCATAAAGCCTTGTGTAGGTTCAGTTGGTCCCCCAGTATCCTCTTGGGTCGGCACTAGACGGCCTCCAGGAGTTTCCTGTGTAGCTATTGGCTCTAGCTCAGTCTTTGTAGGGAGTCCACTGGATGATTTTGAGGATAATGGTATACTAGCATTAACGTTATCTCTGTTAGGTGGTCTCTGGCGTTGCAGAGGAGGACTATTATGTCTTACACGTCTGTCCAGCTGATATTGCCTTGAAGGGGTCTGATGACCAGTTTGATAATAGTCTGACATATTACTGGTTTCTAAACCAGATGAAAAATGTGTCATTGTCTGGGTTTCTGGTTCATTTGGTTTCACAATTGTTCTATGCATTTTTACAACTATTTCTTTGGTATCATCGCCTGGGGACACACATATAATACCATCTATTTCAAGTGACTTATTGAATACGACATTCTGTGTGCAAAGTTTCAGTACTGCGTCTTGTATCATTTGACACAACATGGCATTTGTAGAACCCATGTTGAAAGATATTTCTTCTTGTGAGATTCTAAATATGAGGTAATTGTCGTGGTTTCTACTTGATTGCCTTAGCTTTAGTCATAACCTGAAATATATAGAGGAATGTTCTTCATACATAAAGAAACAGACTGTAGTTTTTTTTCAAATATTTCTTCCAAATTCTGAAGGTATTCTCATCTGGTTATTTATTTTTGGTTTGAATGACACACAATCAAATTGATTCTCACAATTTACTCGAGTCTCTAGCCAATATTTGGCTAGAGGTGATTTCATCTGGAATACTGTGAACTCCATTTGAAAAAGCTGGCATCTGTGTCATAAATTTATTGAATATTTTAAAAATCGCCAGATAAATAAATCATTACTTAGAATGGAACTGGCTCGGCTCCTTGATGAGATATGATATGCGATTTTTCTTCCCCCCCTGAGACTGAAAGAACTTGTGTTTTACTTTGGTATGTCACTCATGTTAGGTGTCTTCAGGTTGACAAGGCAGATATAGGCTTGAATTACTTGAGTCTCTAGCCAATACTTGGCTAGAGGTGATTTCATCTGGAATACTGTTAACTCCACTTGAAAAATTTATTGAATACTTCAAAAATCGCCAGATAAATAAATCATAAATTAAAACGGAACCAGCTCAGCTCCTTGATGAGATATGACATGATTTCGTCTAAAATTAAAACAAAATGGCTCCAAGAAAAATGGCGATATTCGAAAACTGGACGAAATGTCGTTAACGTCTGACATTAGTAACTGGCTGTAAATTCTAAGTTAGCGATCCAGTAGATGTGAACTAATACACTGATCTTTGGAGGAAGGCCACCATACAGTGGCCCTAGTTCAACGTCGTTAAACTCAATAACGGCGTTATTTATTATTAAGAATTTTCTTGGGGCCATTATTGAGTTTAACCTCCTTACTATTCTTTCCATTGATGCAAGTTTTGGATCCACCGAAACCATTTTTCCGCGATAACATGCAACTGATACTTGACAACAATATTAAAAACACATAACATCAAGCGATTAAACACAATATTATTGTATTAAATGGTCATTTATACAAGTAAAATGAGGTTAAACTTACCAATCTCTAAAATGACATTTCCGCATGTCCGCCATTGTGTCTGTTCGTCCCGGGTTAAAATGTAAACTATTGAAACGAAATTGTTGTCAAATAGATTGATAATTATCACGCGATTACTCGGGATAAAATAACTATTTTTGAGGATAGCAGGTATCTTTGATTGATTTATATAGCGCTTGTATACACACAAAATAGTTATTAATTGCAAACCTACTGTTCGTTGATGCAGTGTCGCAATGACGGTTAATTCCTGATACGATTTGCAATTTCGATGTTACCGGAGTTGACCGTCTATTTTCGTAAAATTCCAAACCTGTCTCCAATATTTTCGTAATTATGCATCAATATGGTCTAAGGGGGGTACGGGATGGTGTGTATGTATTTATAAGGTATGTATGCATGCTTGAATCACATCCTTTGTGTAATATTACCATGTTTTCGGAGTTTAATTAGTTCCGCATGTCGGAACCTGCTGAACGACTAAATTAACACATCAAGGGCAAAATGGTCATGGAGGTTAGACCTAGCAGGGGCCATAAGACATGTCAGATAAGAAACGAGGCCCAGGCTAGGTCTAATGTTGTTGGACTAACAGTGGCCCTAGAAGAAGGTAACTCACAATCTGATATATCAAATATTTCAGCAATAACACTATAGTCCTTAGCAAAAACAAGTATTCAGTAACTTGAACGTGAAGTGATCTAAATTCATTGTGGGTTCTAAAGCATACACATCTCAAAATATATAGATCCTAGCTCGCAAGCTCTGAAAAAGGAAAAAGCAGGTGGAGAAAACAAGTTGACCTACTTTTCTAAATTGACGATTCACCGCCTAAAATATGTTCAATCGCTACAAATTTTGCATTTTCAAAAACCTTGTATTGACAAATTAAACATGTATGTATGCAATATAGTATAGATAATACATTTACCTAGAAATTAAAACCTCTGTAGAGGAAACAAAGCCGTTGTTCTTTCCTAATTAAAATTCTTCTCTTTGAAGAGTCATGAACCGCCACATAGATGTTCTAGGGTGAATAAAACGCAATCCCCGGGAATTTGATTTGGGAACGTGAAACATTGGACAGAACAGAAACCACATCTAGGCGTGTTACTTATTTATTCAATACTGGAAGGCTTATCTCAATCGTACAATAAGAACAATCACAACTGTACATCATAAAAACAATTGTACATAATTGAGAGCACAATCCAACTGTGAGCACAATCAAAAGTGTACATAATATGAGTACAACCACAACAATAAACTAGACACAATATGCAGCACATTCAAAACAAAAATATCAACTGTACAATGTGGAGAGCACAATCACAACTTAGCAATATCAAAGGCACAATCTCAACTACTGAAAAATATTAGGAACACAATCTCAACTTTAACATTTTGCACTATATTGAGAGCACAATCATAACTGTATAATATAAAGTTATTTCAATAACATGAATCACACAAGTCATTAACATGCAACATGTCATCACCTGCCATTTGTTACAGAAGCTGACCACCAAACATCAAACACCAACCACCAAACACCATCCACACTGAATAGAAATGATTCTGTACTATTAAAGGTTTTCAATTAAATTGTATACAATATTTGATAAATTTGTACATGCTATTGGGATGCACCTATATATGTTATGAAGATCATTTTTTATCAGACAAGTGTTGATTTGAAAATGGGAAGCTGTATGCTTAGTGCGGTTTTGTGTTGTTAACACAGCTCATTTCTACAAGTACAACAGGCATTTTTGATAGTGTGTTAGAAGCCACTACTGTATCAGTAAGCAGGAACAATTTTGGCCCCCATGAACTTTTTAATTGGGAGTTGTGCTTCATGTTTATTTATCTGTATACCAACTGCCAGATTTCAACTCTTTTGTAAAGCATGTTTTTTGATTTTACTACAATAACAATATCTAGGTGGACTTAGGGGCCAGGTCGATATCTCAATGAACATAATTAATTCAGTTAGGTTTAACCCCCCTCCCCCTTTTAACAAAAGGTCAAAATGTTGTTTTGCATGCAGTGTTCAAGTACAACCCCACAGCATGCAATATCTGTTTCAGCTAACACATTTCAAGTTCTCTTTAAACGCCCATCGTATGATGAGTACATAGAATATCATACCATGCCTGTTAAACCGGAAACTGCAGAAAATGAAACCCCAGGAAACTCTAAAATCAATGTCCATCACCAAATTAAATAGCGTTTTACCCCCTCCTTCAATCAATGTAATTTACATTTTTGATGGATTTTCAAATATTGACCTAATCCCTTATTATAATATAGATTTTCTGAAAGAACATTTCAGGATTTTGGTTTGTGAATAACAATTTATCACGAAATAACTAACCAATAAATTAGATTATATAAATATCCTTTTATTGCACATACATAATCTTTACACCTTTGTTCAATACATGTACATTTCTTCAAGTTTCAAAATAACAATTCTATTTCCATTTGACATGATGTTACATAGGTCTAGCTATTTTCACTTTGGCCATTTTCTGCTCAACACATCATGAAAAATCATTTTTCCAACATTATTCAATGTTTTTAACAATGTTTTATCTCTTTGTAAGCACTAATTTAAATATCCAGTATAGTATAGGAACCATCTTCATCGATCAAGGCCTACTTGCCATAACTGAATTCTAGACCAGTAAAGACATAATTTTCATATACGCAGGTCAAAATTAGCTGGCCTATAGTGCTAGTGGTGAACGCAGGCCTGTCAACTGTCCCGCAATTTGCGTATTTGTCACGCATTTGCTGAAGAATTTGAAGTCACGCCAGTTTTTTTTGCGTGACAGAAAATGTCACGCAAATACGCATTTTACCTGGTAATTGTCACGCAAAAATATCTCTGTAGAAATTTTTTCGAAATATGTTTACGATACGGTAAAAATACGAACGTCGGAAAAAACCGAACGCAATTTTTTCGGATTTGTCACGCGAATCCCGTATATGTCACGCATGTTCATTGAAAATTTTCGTACCTCCCTCCCCCCCCCCCCCCCCCCCCCCCCCGTTGACGATACCGCGAGCGTAGCGAGCGCGAAAAATTTGAGGTGATCAAAGTTTGGCAAAGGTGCTCAAACTTTGGCCAAAGGTGTTTAAAAGTTGGCCAAAGGTGTTCAAAATTTGGACAAAAGTGTTCAGATTTGGACTTAGGTGTCCAACATTTTGAAGTCACTCATATTAGGTGGTCCCAAGTTGACAGCCCTGTGAACGTCACTGGAAATTGTCCTACATGCCAGTGCCTTTGTAATATCAATCTCATCAAGGGAAGGCCTTTCTAATTTGAAAAAAATCCTCATGTAATACATCAATGTGATTGGGCGATATCAGAGAAATATTGTAAAACGTCAATCATAGTGAACTCTAGTGTCACGTCAATGTGATTGGGCGATATCAGAGAAATATTGTAAAACGTCACTCATAGTGAACTCTAGTGTCACATCAATGTGATTGGGCGATATCAGAGAAATATTGTAAAACGTCACTCATAGTGAACTCTAGTGTCACATTTGAACCAGGATAACACTTCTTAATCAGTTCATCAAAATGGTTGTATTGTTTTATGAAGTCATCTTGCATGGAATGCCAAACAACCTGCAAAATAATGATTTTAATAGGTTATTGTTTTTTATTGCACCATACTTTTAGAAAAGTTTCAATCAACATTATTGGGGTTAAGGCCTATACACTCACAAGCATTATTGCCCCCCCCCCCTTCCTAAATAATGTGTTAACATTTCTACTGGAAAATATTTTTTATATTGCTTTTCTGGCTATTTTGAATTCCATAGACAATAAAATAGTACCGTGGGTACTGGGCTCACATGGTGTTGCTCAAAAGTAAACGATGGCAAAAATGGCAGAAAATAAAAAAAAAGGGTGTAATTTTTGCCAATTTTTTGTAACAAAATTATTTCATACAACTTAGGAAATGGACCACAAGTGAATTTCGCAAAGACAAAAATGGCGACCATTTTGAAATTAGGCGAGCTTTTGAACCAGGAGTCATAGGGGGGTTTTCTGTATTGATGTTGAACAGAAATAACTTAAAACAGGAATCCTATCGACAGAGGTTAGCTAGGAAATGGGCTAAAAGTGAATTTCGCGACACAAAAGTGACGGCCATTTTGAAAATAGGCGAGCTTTTGAGCCAGGAGTCATAGGGGAGTTTTCTGTATTGATGTTGAACAAAATAACTTAAAACAGGAATCCTATCGACAGATGTTTTAAGGCAAATGGTCCCGAAGTGGACTTCGCGGGACATATGGACAAATCAATGTTAACTATAATGGCTGAAAATAAAAAACAGATATAACTTTTTGCCGATTTTTTGTTACAAAATTATTTCATACAACTATTCTTTACAGTGACATGGGTTTTTACAATGCAGGACACCTGAAATTACATGTAAAGCTAGGAAATGGACCAAAAGTGAAATCTGCGAGACAAAAATGGCAACCATTATAGGCGAGCTTTTGAACCAGGAGTCATAGAGGAGTTTTCTACATTGATGTTGAACAAAAATAACTTAAAATGGGTATCCTATTGACAGAGGTTTTAAGGCAAATGGTCCAAAAGTGGATTTCACAAGATAGATTGACAAATCAATGTTAATTAAAACAGCTGAAAATTAAAAAAACGGATAAAATTTGTCGACTTTTTGTTACAAAATTATTTCATACAACTACTCTTTACAGTGGCATGGCTTTTTACAATGCAGGACACCTAATTTCGTGAGACAAAAATGGTGGCCATTTTGAAAAAAGGCGAGCTTTTGTACGAGGAGTCATAGGGGGATTTTCTACATTGATGTTGAACAAAAATAACTTAAAACGAGAATCCTATTGACAGAGGTTTTAAAGATCTAATAGCAAAGGTTTTGCAAAAATAAATCAATGTAGTATAAAACAAATGTATGTATTATGAAGAAATAAATATATAATGAAAAAAATAGATATGTGTTTGTAATATTGGTATAAACTTAAGATTAAAAAGTGTCACTATCTCTTTCATTTTTCAACAAATATAGGCTCACGTGACATGTGACGCGGGGCAGTCAATTTTGATCTATCGTAGACCATATCAGTATCAAATTACTGATATTTCAACCTCGTCTTGCGAGGCCATTTTGATTTGAAACATCTTGAATTTGGTGTCAAAATGAAGCTGGTCACGCCCACTTTCAGAGTTATCAATGAATCATTTACTACGACTACTATATTCATTTAGGAGGCGTGTAAAGTTAACCAATCAGAAAGACAATTGTTCCATATATGGCAGTTCATTAACATATTCAGTGTTTACTACTGCTTTTCACGTCATGACAACACGAGTAGTAACCAATCAAGATGCCGTATTTTATCACGTGAGTTCAGAGTGACACGCACGCGACATGTTGTCTGGGGTGATCGCGATGTTGAACAATTTCTTCTCGGAATTTGTCCAGAGAAATCAGCGATTCTAAATTAAGGTAGGATCTGCCATTTTTTCCTGTACAAGTTATAACTTATCTCTATCGAATCCTAAAGTTTTGGAAGAAGATATGAAGCGTAGGTTTAAAAACGAAGCGATTAATTTGACGATCTGATTTTGCAATTTGCAATGGCCAATTTACTGCAAGTCCAGTGCATGTATTTGACAAGAGATAGCGCCAAGTCTGGTATCTAAATGCTTGTTAAGCCACTCAAAAACAAGATCCATATCTTCTAAATTTGATAACTTTGCAGAAAACCTGTTTTCATAATCTGTTTTCCGCGTCTAGATTCAAACTGAGTATGATAATAGGATCGCTGGAATCTTCAGTCAATGGCAACGGGTCTTCATTCCAGAACTCACATTTTTAGTTGATTCTCCGTCATAGTTCTTGTTTAAAGTCCCCATATCTGCTCTCTTACTGCCATACTTGCACACATTTCCCCTCCTTAAATTGTCTTCATTCAAATTACACCCTCTCGCCAATTTATATAGTCATTTCCCAGAACACGGGAATCAGAATCGCTGATGTTTGCCATATTGAACATATTATATATCTGTACATTGACTGCTACGCGTTATGGTCACGTGACTAGCGCGATACAGGAAAAATGGGGAATTTCGAAACAACAATTTTTGGGCACTTTTATTGCAAATTTCAGGTATTTATAAAGTGTTTGTGGTATAAAATATAATCCACAGACATAAATGAACATCCAAACTACATATTTCATTAAGTTTTGGAGCCTTTTTTGCTCTTAAATCAACATCTTTAAAACTGGCCAATTGTTGACAGACGGACAGACAGACGGATGGACAGACAGACAGACGGACAAGTGAGTGATTGCAATAGCTCACCATGTGAGCTAATAATAATAAGGAGAGGCAATAAACTCCCATGTTTCTTCAAGAATATTTTTGGAAGAGGAAAGCTCCCTAAATCCTTTAAAATATTGGCCATATGAGATATGGTTCCCATAATTGCCTGAGTTGTAAGAAAAGCGATTTTAAAATATATTCACACATAGCTAGGTGTGTCCAATTCCAACCAATCAGATTTCATGTAACTGCATTCCATTATATAACCAATAACACATTTCTTGTATGGTTTTCAAGGTAATAACTGGACTCACAGATTAAAGTTGATGCTTTGCCAACTTAAACCTTGCAAAAAGTTTCATTGAAAATATGTTCTTTTAGTGATTTTTGCAGAAAATATTTTGCAATGTGAAAAGAATTTAAGCCCAAGACTTTATGCATTGTTCCATTGAAGGTGTTGTTTCCAAAACTTTGCATTCCCACTGCAGAGTCATGCAAAGATTTGGAAACAACACCTTCAATGGAATGGTTCAGCATACAATGCACTGAGTCTGGGGGTTAAATCCTTTATAATGTGTCCCTTAGAAAATGGGAGTGAGTCATTTCTTTTAATAAATTACTTAATTGCGCCAACCCTTACATAATTCATCAAATGAATCAAAGTTATGTGTTCTCAGAGATAGGATCCAGTTGATTTTTAGGCCTGCTTAGTGTTTATACTACTGGCGAATCCAGGTGGGCCAATAAAAAAATTTTGGGACCCCAACATTTTTTTCAGGGCCACAATTAGTGGGCCTTTTTTGCAGAAGCACTCGTTGCCATAAGTCGCACCCTCAAAACCCGGGTTTGCCGTCATCCAAATCCGCCTTTGTAAAAATGTGAACGGTTCATAATTAGACTCGTTCGTGTTATTTTTGCGAGTTTTCAAACCTGGATTTAATTGTTTTTACTAGAAGGGTTCCTCGTTATCAATTGTAATATATAAGATTTTATCCCAGACAGACACAATAGAAATTGCAACACTGGAAGATGGTAATAGCGTGGAATTGTATTTAAATCAAATATTATTCATATGTATGAATAAAAATAAATTTGTTTCAAGTTCCTCATCTCTACTGGCCAATTTTTTCTTGTTTTAGTAGCCGTTGTACTGATATATTATCTTAGTCAAAATAGAGTACGAACGAGTATAAGGGGTCTTCTAGCTTTGCACATTTCAGACCAGTCATAATACGTAACTATTTCCAATATGTTTAACGTCTTGGTAGATGCAAGATAACACGTATAAAATTCTAATAAAACGAACTTTTATATTTCGTGGCCTCATTAAATACTTATTTCGTTTGGAATGGCCTTAAACCCTGGTCCGCGAAACAAACATTTAAATAAGGGATTGGCGCACCCGGGTCTGACTGTAAACCTCCTGTTCACTGTCGTATGAATTATGAATGTAGTTTCGCACACTTGTCAACGGAAACAAACAGTGAACCCTGCTTTCCCAAACCCGGGTTTCCAGGATTCGCCTCGCATGCCTTCGACTCTTTCTCCTTTTTGTGGCATTACTTGACCTTATTTTAGGCTAAATTATCAAAAATGGGCCTTAAATTGAAAATTTTCTGATTTGAAATGTTGCCCCCCTTGTTAGCTTCTGGATCTGCCAGTGTTATACCATGCACTACACTCTAATTTTCAACCATTAAACAATAGCATCATTAAGTATCAAAGGATATAATGGCTATGCCTAGGATACTATTAGTGTTACTGTACTGAGCGATGCCCTCTATAACTCTCTCACCTGTGCTAAGTTCTCTTCATCACATAGATGTTTTTCAACCTTCTTATATAGGTTATCAAGACCTTTCTTCACCTGAAACACAACAATAACATATTTTCACTGTTTCTTATATAGATTATCTAGACATTTCTTCAACTGAAACACAACAATAACATATTTTCACTGTTTCTTATATAGATTATCTAGACATTTCTTCAACTGAAACACAACAATAACATATTTTCACTGTTTCTTATATAGATTATCTAGACATTTCTTCAACTGAAACACAACAATAACATATTTTCACTGTTTCTTATATAGATTATCTAGACATTTCTTCAACTGAAACACAACAATAACATATTTTCACTGTTTCTTATATAGATTATCTAGACATTTCTTCACCTGAAACACAACAATAACATATTTTCACTGTTTCTTATATAGGTTATCAAGACCTTTCTTCACCTGAAACACAACAATAACATATTTTCACTGTTTCTTATATAGGTTATCAAGACCTTTCTTCACCTGAAACACAACAATAACATATTTTCACTGTTTCTTATATAGGTTATCAAGACCTTTCTTCACCTGAAACACAACAATAACATATTTTCACGGTTTCTTATATAGGTTATCAAGACCTTTTTTCACCTGAAACACAACAATAACATATTTTCACAGTTTCTTATATAGGTTATCTAGACCTTTCTTCACCTGAAACACAACAATAACATATTTTCACTGTTTCTTGTATAGGTTATCAAGACCTTTCTTCACCTGAAACACAACAATAACATATTTTCACGGTTTCTTATATAGGTTATCAAGACCTTTTTTCACCTGAAACACAACAATAACATATTTTCACGGTTTCTTATATAGGTCATCAAGACCTTTCTTCACCTGAAACACAACAATAACATATTTTCACGGTTTCTTATATAGGTTATCAAGACCTTTCTTCACCTGAAACACAACAATAACATATTTTCACGGTTTCTTATATAGGTTATCAAGACCTTTTTTCACCTGAAACACAACAATAACATATTTTCACTGTTTCTTGTATAGGTTATCTAGACCTTTTTTCACCTGAAACACAACAATAACATATTTTCACGGTTTCTTATATAGGTCATCAAGACCTTTCTTCACCTGAAACACAACAATAACATATTTTCACGGTTTCTTATATAGGTTATCAAGACCTTTTTTCACCTGAAACACAACAATAACATATTTTCACGGTTTCTTATATAGGTTATCAAGACCTTTCTTCACCTGAAACACAACAATAACATATTTTCACTGTTTCTTGTATAGGTTATCTAGACCTTTTTTCACCTGAAACACAACAATAACATATTTTCACGGTTTCTTATATAGGTTATTAAGACCTTTTTTCACCTGAAACACAACAATAACATATTTTCACAGTTTCTTATATAGGTTATCAAGACCTTTCTTCACCTGAAACACAACAATAACATATTTTCACGGTTTCTTATATAGGTTATCAAGACCTTTCTTCACCTGAAACACAACAATAACATATTTTCACGGTTTCTTATATAGGTTATCAAGACCTTTTTTCACCTGAAACACAACAATAACATATTTTCACTGTTTCTTGTATAGGTTATCTAGACCTTTTTTCACCTGAAACACAACAATAACATATTTTCACGGTTTCTTATATAGGTCATCAAGACCTTTCTTCACCTGAAACACAACAATAACATATTTTCACGGTTTCTTATATAGGTTATCAAGACCTTTTTTCACCTGAAACACAACAATAACATATTTTCACGGTTTCTTATATAGGTTATCAAGACCTTTCTTCACCTGAAACACAACAATAACATATTTTCACTGTTTCTTGTATAGGTTATCTAGACCTTTCTTCACCTGAAATACAACAATAACATTCTTTTACAGATTGTCGAGACCTTTCTTCACCTGAAACACATTTTAAAATGTTTCACTGTTTTGATTAACCTCTTGGCTACCCAGAGTGACACAAGTTCTTATTACAAAAGAACTAGCTTTGATACCCAGAGTGACGAGAAAACTTGTCAACCTTTTCGGAATGGTACAATTTTTTATCCTTTTGATATTTCACAAGACATATGAGAGCTACGTAAGAAAATGTGGTGGATTTTCCATAAATATGCCTGGTTAATCACCTTGGTAGTGAAGAGGTTAAAGGAATAATAGAAGTGACAGAGAGTGACAGGTTTTTCTAAACTTACTCGCTACTTGTCTCTCCTACACCCTTTTAAGGACTTTTTACTTTCATTTGATATAGAAAGATGGTTATAAATTGAAAGTGTTCTAGTGACATTGTATATTATATGCTTCTGCAGAATATAATCATTAAAGTATTCCTAAAAAAAGGAACAATCCCTTTAACTCTGATTCTAAGATAAACTAAAATTAAAAACAATTGTAAAATCCACAATCTTTTCTTTAAATATCAAGCTTGATAAGACTAAAAGAGTCTGATTTTGTCAATACTTTTAAGAAAACATATAAACCGAAGTATCATATTAGGAAGTGAATATTTACATGTATGTAAATGCATAAACAGTTAATAGTTAATGAAAACACAGAATGAAATCCTGTGCTAAGGGCTGATGTGAAAAATGTAAATGCATATACATGTCTATGTTTGTATGTGTTAATATTAATTGTACATATTGTAAATAACTAAATTCAAACCGGGGCTCGAGGAAGACCAGTTTTTTTACTGAAAGAGCTATCAAGAATAAATATGGTTTTCAAATCAAATCAAATCAATGTGATAAAAGTGGCATCAAAAGTAAGTTCCAAGTTGTATAAGATACTCTCACGATTTAAGTTTCAAATTGCAATGAATGAACTTCAATTTCTACAAGATCAATGTTTTTCAAACTGCAAAGTTAACAAAAATGAATGTTGGCATTAATGCTTTTATTGTTCTTTAAATATTGGTGTATTTCACATTAGAGTAAAAAGGACTGCTGTTTTTTTATGTACATTCTTTTATAAAATTTGTACACTGAAATTTTAAATCATTGTTATTGAATATTCGATTCATCAACATGATACAATAAGTTACTAATTACTGGTTCATTAAAATTTTGTTTATTATGATTGTGTAGTTGAAAGGGTAAGGTGATTTAGATGCAAGATAACATTGTTTTTATAAGCTTTGCTAGTTATTCACTGTCATTTATCCATTTTTGCATCAGGTTACATAAATGTTTCCGATATATTTTATCATCTGAAACTCAATAAAACGTTCAACAATTTTTCATCTGAACAAAAGATAAACATTTTTCAAAGTCTATTTGTCACACATATTTCAAATACATGCAATTTTGCAATAAGAACAATTAGAAAGAGTGATCAAGCGCAAGTCTTCACTATAGAAAGATTAAGATGGGGATCAAGGCGCAATATGCTGTGCTAATTTTAGCAATGGTACAAATTGTGGACAGAGCCAAGGCTGGTGGTTGTCCTAGCTTGCAACAAAAATTTAAAGCCGCACAAGCTGAACTGGAACGATTAAAGAACACGGGGCAATGTCAATGTAACTGTGAAGGCCTTATCCCAGGGCCTGCGGGAGCACAAGGAGAACCAGGGCCTGCAGGAGCACCAGGGCCTGTGGGAGCACCAGGCCCTGCAGGAGCACCAGGACCTGCGGGAGCACAGGGAGAACAAGGGCCTGCAGGAGCACCAGGACCTGCAGGAGCACAGGGAAAATCAGGGCCTGCAGGAGCACCAGGACCTGCGGGAGCACAGGGAGAACAAGGGCCTCCTGGTCCAGCTGGGCCACCAGGTCTTGCGTTGAATCAACCAATGGACTGCCCAGAAGGGTTCACAAAAAATGAACAGTTAAAATCGTGTTATAAGTTTATTACAAACACAAAGTTGAAGTGGATTGATGCCCTCAGTTTCTGCCAATCTCTACAGGCAAACCTCGTTGCTATAGACACTGAGGAGGAACAAGCATATCTCGCTGACAAAATCACAAATGGTGCTAAACCTCATGAATGGTTTTGGACTGGTGGCAATCAGCTGTGTGGGATATGGATGTGGTCAGGGGGCCCAAGTTGGTCAACCAAATCCATCTCTGGATATTGGAACTGGAACAGTGCATACAATCCACCACAGCCAGAAGATAATCATGAGAGATGCCTATTTCTGTCGAATACTTTTGCTTTCAAATGGCATGATGGTGACTGTGGTAGTGGAGGAAACTTTATTTGTGAGATTAATCTTTCATAAAACCTCATTACTACTCATTATACTGATTTAATACAAGTCCAGTTGAGATGGTTGATTCAAGATTCAATATTGGATATCCCCTCGAGAAAAATATTAGAGTGTCTTGTAAATGATGAATGTGTGTAGACTACATGAATATGGTTGAACTATCCCCTCAAAACGTAATAAGAATGCTCTCCCTGATGCCAGCCACTTGTGTGGATGTCCACCTGGCAAATATATAACAATAAAAGTCACCAGCTCATTTAAAATCAAACCAATTAAACATTACGATAGATGCTGTTTGCATGCAACAGCAGTAAGATAAACTATATTATTTTCTCAAAATTGTGATTAATTAACTATTATTTCTAGATGATCAATGTTTTTCAAACTGTAATGTTAGCAGAAAAATATGTTGGTGTCAACGCCTTTTGTTTGAGTAAGATCTAGGTTGCTCTCATTTTTCAAATATTGAGGTATTTTACATCAGAGTTAAAGAGATTGCAGTCTCACATTATGAAATCTGCATACTGAAACTTTAAATTGTCAAACTTTAATTGTCAAAACTTCAAACTTTAAACTGTCATTGTTAATACTTTTTGTAGTTTAGTAACTTCAGCATGCAACATTTTAGTATGGGATGCAGCTGTTGTTGTGAGCCACTGTTATAAATAGAGAACATCCAAATAAATAATAAATAAATAAATTATGGTTACATTATTGTTCTAGCATTTTTTCATATGTGAGTTTATTCATTAATAAACAAAAATTATAAAAGCAATAGATTGCCAAAGTTTTATAAAAAAAAGACATTAGCGGCAATATTAATCGATTAAGATAGGACTGCATCAAAATTAAAAAGTTATCATATTACATTTCTGATTCATCATGAGTTCATCATGACTTACTGACTACTGGTTAATTTAAACGTTGTCGATAATGCGAAGTTGAAAAGGTAAGGTGATTTAAATGCAAGGTAACATTGTTTTTATATTAAGCTTTGGTAGTAATTCATCGCACTTTTTCATTTTTGCATATAAATGTTTCTAATTTGTTATATTATATCGTCTGAAACTCAATAAAACACTTTTCATCTAAACAATGAAATGATAAATATTCCACTTTTAAAATACATTTGCAACATATTTAAACACAGAGGATTTAGCAATTAGAAAAAGAGTGATCTCAATACAGGTCTTTACTATAGAAAGATTTAAGATGGGGATCAATGCGCTATGTGCTGTCGTAATCTTAACAATTATACAAATTTTGGACAGATCTGAAGCTGGTAATTGTCCTAACTTACAACAAAAACTTAAAGCAGCACAAGCTGAACTGGAACGATTAAAGAACACGGGGCAATGTCAATGTAACTGTGAAGGCCTTATCCCAGGGCCTGCAGGAGCACAAGGAGAACCAGGGCCTGCAGGAGCACCAGGGCCTGCAGGAGCATCAGGACCTGCGGGAACACAAGGGGAACCAGGGCCTGCAGGAGCATCAGGACCTGCAGGAGCACAAGGAGAACAAGGGCCTGCAGGAGCCCCAGGACCTGCGGGAACACAAGGGGAACCAGGGCCTGCAGGAGCACCAGGACCTGCAGGAGCACAAGGAGAACAAGGGCCTGCGGGAGTAAAAGGAGAAAAAGGGCTTGCAGGAGCACAAGGGCCTCCTGGTCCAGCTGGGCCACCAGGTGTTGGTTTACATCGTCCAATGGACTGCCCAGAAGGGTTCACGAAAAATGAACAGTTAAAATCGTGTTATAAGTTTATTACAGACACAAAGTTGAATTGGTTTGATGCCCTCAGTTTCTGCCAATCTCTACAGGCAAACCTTGTTGCTATAGACACTGAAGAGGAACAAGCATATCTTGCTGACAAAATCACAAATGGTGCTAAACCCAAAGAATGGTTTTGGACTGGTGGCAATGAGCTTTGTGGTACGTGGAAGTGGGTAGGGGGGCCAAGCTGGACAACCAAAAACGTCTCTCTATATCTGAACTGGGACAGTACACAGCCGCAAGATAATGATGAGAGGTGCCTAGGTCTGTTGCATTATTCTGCTTACAAATGGTATGACACTAACTGCGAAACAAGAGCCGCCAACTTTATTTGTGAGATAAACTTGTCATAAACTTTTTTATTGAATTTTTTAAATCTTCAGACATTTGATGTTTCTAATCCAGATTGTATTTACTGACAATGGATTCAATATTCTACATACCAAATTTATCTTTTCTGTTAGAACTACAGTATCTTCCAGAGGATGAATATATGTATGGTAAATGAATATGGTTGCAACTATTCCCTTAAATGCCCACCTGGCAAACTTATAACAATACAGGCCATCTGCTCTCTTAAAATCATATCAATTGACAAAATCTATTTGCATGCGACAAAGGGTCATAAGACTATAAAGCTGGTGAAATTTTTATGTTGAAAAAACCACTTATGATTTATCAGGGTACGAACAAAAGATTTCATAAAATGTGACTGTCATTTTAAAAGCAGGTGCCATTTTGAATAAAGTGGTGTACTATGTACATTTAAACATAAAATTTACCAAACACGAACATTATTAGTCCAGGGATATACTAGATACTGATTTATTATGTATATAGAGACCAATCTTGAAGACTTGACTATTTTTCACTCAAACTTCATTCAATTTGAAAACAAAGATGGCACTGCATACCTCTTTCCCAGGGTACTCCTTGATGACCTTTCGCAGTTCTTGTTTGTTGAATGCCAGCTGGTAGCCTACCTCCTCTGCCTTGACACCTGCTGCCACACGATTCTCTATACCATCAAAGAATAACTGAAAGACAATGTCCACCAATAATGTGACATAACAATAACATGGTAACAATATGACAAGTTCTTAATTGAAACTTACTAAGTCAACTTTTCAAATTTCAGTTTTGAACTATAAACAGCAATTTTTTCAAGCTTGGATATTAAGGAAAATTCGATGGAGCAAGATACAGATCTTAATGAATTTAAAACATTTTGGAATGATTTAGGATCAGAATTACAGACCGTCGATCCTTTAAGCAAAACTGCTTCAAATATGTCAAGTGGTTGTCAAGTTTAAGGCAAAATTGTCCAATATCTAAAATCGCAGCCATTTTGAATTAAGACACCATTTCCAGTCAACATTCACCTGGTATCTATAATGCATGATGTATTCAATATGAAATGAAAAAATCATTTATTAACATTGTTAACCCTTTCCCGACGTGAATATAAGAGGAAAATGTTGGCCCTGGTGACGGATAAGTAAGAGCAGTTTTTAGAGGAAAACTGCAAAATACCTACACCCTGGGACCTATACCATGAATTTTATCACTGAAATACAATTTTTAGTAAGGATTATCACATTAGAACAATTTGTCAAAATTTGGTGTAAAAATACTGAATAGAACTGGAGATATTGTCATTTCATTGATGTATATAGATAAAAATAATGGTGCCAAAAGGAGCCTATCGTCCTGAAAGGTAAATACATAATAGGGCTCCATATGGAGCCTATCGTCGTGAAAGGGTTAAAAATTACAATTTCTTAAAGGGCAGCCGCATGAATTTAAGGCCATTTTGAAATTCTCTTGGGCAGCCTACACTATATCACTCTATAAAATAAGGATTTCATTGGACAAATAATGGACTTGGGAGCAAGATACATCTTCACTATATATCTCTGCATCAATTTTGCTTGTTTCAGGGGAAAAAATAAAGAATTTGAATTTCATTCAAATTTTAAAATCAAAATGGAGAGACATGGAATTAGAAAACAAGGCATTAACATGCAAAATGTCACCACCTGAAATTTGTTACAGACGCTGAATGCTGAACATCAACTGGCAAACACCAACTGCCAAATGTCGAACACTGTCCCCCAAAAAGTTGGAGAATTGATATGTCATCAATTCTGGTGGTGACATAATAAAAAGTTCAGAATTTAAGTATTAAAATCACAGGTCATGTTCTTACATTAAGTTTCTCCATGGGTCTTCCAAGTTGTGCTGTAACATAAGCTTGTAGGTTCTCCTGGTACTTCTGTTTGGCTTCCTTTCGCTCTGTGTCCAGCACCTGGATCTTTAACTGTGACAGCATAGCTGCAAACGCAAACATACATGTAACCTTATTTTTGGGTCCCCATCACTGAGACACTATCCAAGAGAGGGCTCTCGCCAGGCCTTTAGACTGTGACGCAGCACCACACTCTATTTAGCTCCCACCACAACCTATTGGCAAATCATGATAATTCCCACAGTCTAAACTTGACTAATATACAAGAATAGCATGTAGAATGGATAAAATATAACATAAATATGATTTATCACAACTGAACAGAGTGAAGATGTTTGCACCACAGCCTAAATATTTCCTAGTGGGAGCCAGTGCAAGGTGTTATAACACATAAAGATGAAGCAATTGAAACCTTGTAAATCAAGATGCTGGTACACATGATCCACTACTCTTTGTCTGAATGTTCAGCTTTAAGAGGCGCTCTCATTAAGTAAGAACAACTTTCGTACCCCTTGCTATTTTCACATTTGGAGATGCTATCCATGATTATCTATATACCAACTGCCTGATTCAGACACGAATGAGATAGGAGTTGATGTTGAATTTACAATGAAATGAATATTTAGCTGGATGGCAAACAATCCAAGTATGAGTTCTTATATTATTAACCTCTTGAAAACCAGAACATTTTTAATTTTCTGCCATTTTACTTCCTTTATTTATTATCTTTGATGTTCATTTTGATTGGTAAACATAGACCAACTATGCACATTTTAATATATAATTTGTATAATATTGATCGAAATTTAAAGGTAGCGCAATTTTATTGAGAATTTTTGTGACTGATTTATCCATTACTCTGGAAATTCCAGGGGTTAATTCAAGAACAGTCAAAAAAATGATCAAAATTGCTCCTTATTTCTTTTTCCTATTTACTACTTACAGTACATATGGTGGAAATTCTCTAACATCACAACACTTCGAGGGGTCTTCGGGTGTTCAGAGGCCACTCTTCCAATTTGTTCAAATATGGTGTGTACAAGGGTTCTGTAGGATCTGTCTAAGTCTGTCCGTCTGTCAGACCCCTTGAATATCCTTTCTGCTTGGTTGGCAAAGTCCTGGATATACACATAATCAAAAGCAATATTATCATACAGAGGGGAGCCTTTGAGACACATTATAGCAATACTAGTATCATTATAAAAATTGTTGATTTATAACAAATAGGCTCACTGACAGTTTGAAGAACTTTACCCGGAAAATTTAAATATCACATTTCTGATTTACTGATATATGGGATCCTTATCAATTTTGCTCATCACGCATAAATATATCATTTATATAAAATATGAAAATATTTTTGATGTTTGAAATTATCTGTTAAAGGTGTACAGTGTTACCTCAAAGTTACTGACAAACGGAATTATACCACATCTGCCCTTTTTGGTCACCCTGTAATCTTCAATGGACCGAATTTGACTTTGCTGTAAATATAAAATAAATATAATATAATATGACATTTTTTTTATTTCTGAAGCTGTAGCCACAATGTGATGAAGTAGCTCTTTTTTATTATTTCATCTCAATATTGTACTCTATGTTTTTTAGATTTTAATTTGAAGAATACAGTCTAGCGATCTTGATTTGACATCATGGTGGCACTTTTAACTGACCAAAATAATAGGTAAAAACTTAATTGGCATAATAGTTCATAGAAAGTAGCAAAATATTTGGCGTACAGTATCAGGTTTATTGAAACAATTTAAATTGCGAGTAGGTTCAACATAATGATAGGTTTTGTTTTATTAACTTTCTCCAATAAAATCAAATCCTAGGTTACTAGAACTTTCTAGATAAGGCATTAAAATGCAAAATGTCACAACCTGCCATTTGTTACAGATGCTGAATGCCAAACATCAACTGCTGAGTATCATCCACAAAATAGGTTGGAGACTATAACAATAAGTCAACACTTCTGGTGGTGACATAAAAAAACATATATTCTGTAATTTCTGAAGATCGTCTCAAATCCATTTCTGAGAAGTGAGAGGGTGTGGTTTAGCAAAATGTCAAATACATAAACATGTAATATTGTACGAAACACCTCTCTAATCTGAACACCTCTCAATTTGAACACTTTTTCTTGGTCCCATAGTTGTTATCTTACCCCCCTATCACACCAAACTAGTTCTAAACCGTTCTTGCCAGTCCTACGAAAACGTCGTAAAACGGGCTCAATCTGGCTGTGGTCGGGAAATATGTCTGAAATAATTAGCTTCTTTGTTCTTAAACAGTCTTCAATACGTCCATCTTGTTCGCAGTTCGTTCAGGTCGCACCACGTCGGTGTGCAACGTCGTAAAACGCGTCCTTTAGTCTAGAAGGTCAACATGACCTGATTACAGAACGGTATGGTCGCCATCGAATTTTGAATCGATTCAAAATTCTAAAATCACATTCCCGTCTGAGAACGTTCATGAAGTTCGTAAATAGACCTTAGAAAGTTGCAGCTACGTTCATTCCGTTCTCACACAGTTTAAAACCAGTTTTGAAGAACGCAGTGGCAACTTGTTTGGTGTGATAGCTATATCTTTGCTAACTCGTTCATAAGCAGTGTTAAATACGTTCTTAATCAGTTTAAACCCGTTTGCAATTAGTTCTACCTCGTTCTCAACACGTCCTCAGACAGTTCAACTCGTTGTTAAAACGTCCCTAGTAGGATTGAAGTACGACGGTTCCGTTCGTAGTACATCCAGCTCGTCGTTAGTATGTTGTCACTCGTTCTAATTGTAAGACGTGACGACCACGAGAACATTTTGAGCATTGTCTAAGTTCTAGAGGACCTACCCGTTCGAGTACGTTCAATGAAGTTTGTAAATAGATCCCAAACGGTTCTTAATAGGTCCAGTCCGTTCGTAAACAGTTGAAGCCCGTTTTCGAGAACGTAGTGAGAACTAGTTTGGTGTGACAGTAGGGTAACATCAACTTTCAAGTTTATAAAACCTTGAAATATAAACACCTGCTAATCGGACCACTTTTGATCGGTCATAGTGCAGGGATTTCACTAGAATTTCTCACAACAGGCTAAATAAATGAAAACAATAGGCAAAATGAATGGAAATCATCAAGTCCCTAAAAACAACAGGCAATTTTGTGAAAACAACTAGTGAAAATTGCCTGTTCCCTGGTGCTAATGAAACCCCTGCAGAGGTGTAAGGATTGGACAGGTTTCACAGTATATAGAATCTCTGAAGTAAAAATTACTTACTATAAATTTGTCAAAGTTTCTTTTGATTGATATGAGGCATGAGGCAAATGATTTACTCAGGAAGGAACCTGTATCCTGGGCATGTAGCACATGTTGACTCATACGCACCAGCATGTACATAGAGTTACTGAAAGTATATATAATACATGTTGACTCATACAAACCAGCATGTACATAGAGTTACTGAAAGTATATATAATACATGTTGACTCATACGCACCAGCATGTACATAGTTACTGAAAGTATATATAATACATGTTGACTCATATGCACCAGCATGTACATAGAGTTACTGAAAAGTATATATAACACATGTTGACTCATACGCACCAGCATGTACATAGAGTTACTGAAAAGTATATATAATACATGTTGACTCATACGCACCAGCATGTACATAGAGTTACTGAAAGTATATATAATACAAGTTGACACATATGCACCATCATGTACATAGAACTACTGAAAGTATATATAATACATGTTGACTCATACGCACCATCATGTACATAGAGTTACTGAAAGTATATATAATACATGTTGACTCATACGCACCAGCATGTACATAGAGTTACTGAAAGTATATATAATACATGTTGACTCATATGCACCAGCATGTACATAGAGTTACTGAAAAGTATATATAATACATGTTGACTCATACACACCAGCATGTACATAGAGTTACTGAAAGTATATATAATACATGTTGACTCATACGCACCAGCATGTACATAGAGTTACTGAGAGTATATATAATACATGTTGACTCATATGCACCAGCATGTACATAGAGTTACTGAAAAGTATATATAATACATGTTGACTCATACACACCAGCATGTACATAGAGTTACTGAAAGTATATATAATACATGTTGACTCATATGCACCAGCATGTACATAGAGTTACTGAAAAGTATATATAATACATGTTGACTCATACACACCAGCATGTACATAGAGTTACTGAAAGTATATATAATACATGTTGACTCATATGCACCAGCATGTACATAGAGTTACTGAAAAGTATATATAATACATATTGACTCATACATAGAGTTACTGAAAAGTATATATAATACATGTTGACTCATACACACCAGCATGTACATAGAGTTACTGAAAGTATATATAATACATGTTGACTCATACGCACCAGCATGTATATAGAGTTACTGAAAAGTATATATAATACATGTTGACTCATATGCACCAGGATGTACATAAAGTTACTGAAAGTATATATAATACATGTTGACTCATACGCACCAGCATGTACATAGAGTTACTGAAAGTATATGTAATACATGTTGACTCATACGCACCAGCATGTACATAGAGTTACTGAAAGTATATATAATACATGTTGACTCATACGCACCAGCATGTACATAGAGTTACTGAAAGTATATATAATACATGTTGACTCATACGCACCAGCATGTACATAAAGTTACTGAAAGTATATATAATACATGTTGACTCATACGCACCAACATGTACATAGGGTTACTGAAAAGTATATATAATACATGTTGACTCATACGCACCAGCATGTACATAGAGTTACTGAAAGTATATATAATACATGTTGACTCATACGCACCAGCATGTACATAGAGTTACTGAAAAGTATATATAATACATGTTGACTCATATGCACCAGCATGTATATAGAGTTACTGAAAAGTATATATAATACATATTGACTCATATGCACCAGCATGTATATAGAGTTACTGAAAAGTATATATAATACATATTGACTCATACGCACCAGCATGTATATAGAGTTACTGAAAAGTATATATAATACATGTTGACTCATATGCACCAGCATGTACATAGAGTTACTGAAAGTATATACATAGAGTTACTGAAAGTATATATAATACATGTTGACTCATACGCACCAGCATGTACATAGAGTTACTGAAAGAATATATAATACATGTTGACTCATACGCACCAGCATGTACATAGAGTTACTGAAAGAATATATAATACATGTTGACTCATACGCACCAGCATGTACATAGAGTTACTGAAAAGTATATATAATACATGTTGACTCATATGCACCAGCATGTATATAGAGTTACTGAAAAGTATATATAATACATATTGACTCATACGCACCAGCATGTATATAGAGTTACTGAAAAGTATATATAATACATGTTGACTCATATGCACCAGCATGTACATAGAGTTACTGAAAAGTATATATAATACATGTTGACTCATACGCACCAGCATGTATATAGAGTTACTGAAAAGTATATATAATACATGTTGACTCATACGCACCAGCATGTACATAGAGTTACTGAAAGTATATATAATACATGTTGACTCATATGCACCAGCATGTACATAGAGTTACTGAAAGTATATATAATACATGTTGACTCATACGCACTAACATGTACATAGAGTTACTGAAAGTATATATAATACATGTTGACTCATACGCACTAACATGTACATAGAGTTACTGAAAGTATATATAATACATGTTGACTCATACGCACCAGCATGTACATAGAGTTACTGAAAAGTATATATAATACATGTTGAGTCATGCGCACCAGCATGTACATAGAGTTACTGAAAGTATATATAATACATGTTGACTCATACGCACCAGCATGTACATAGAGTTACTGGAAGTATATATAATACATGTTGACTCATACGCACCAGCATGTACATAGAGTTACTGAAATTATATATAATACATGTTGACTCATAAACACCAGCATGTACATAGAACTACTGAAAGTATATATACCTGTTACACATGTAGCACAAGTTGACTCATATGACATCTAATTTTCCATATTCTTAGCTTGTTTAACTATATAGTTCAACAATCCGTCAGACGAAAACAAACTGATAAATATATTTTTTGATGGTTTTCAAACAGCTATAGATTTTCACTTATATACAGGGCAATATACATTCAGTTTCTTCCCCACTTCTTGAAGAAAGTAAATGAGATGTTTTTTCGGATATCAGGTATATATAGAAAGATATAAATCAACCATCCTGAGAGTACTTAAATATTATATTCATCCCAGCTTTATCCGATACCAAAGGTAATTTATCTCTCCTAGGATATATTTAACCTCTTGACTACCTGGAGTGAAGAGATTTCTTGTCGCCTCAGAAATGACCTTGAAACCCAGAGTGACGAGAAAATCTGTCACAATTTTTTTCACTAAAATTGCTCTTATTTGAACAATTTTCGACCAATTTACACAAAAATTGTTTTACACAAAAATGTGTTGAAATGATCTCTGCCGAAAATCGTGTAGGTTAATGTCAAAAGGTGGCAAAAATGAAAAATTCTCTGGTTTCAACCGATTTTAGAGTCTGGGATTCAAGAGGTTAATAACGAAAACCCGAAATGGGATCATTGTTACTCACAATCCATCCAGCCTGTATCCAAACTCCACAAAGTCAACTAAGGATGGCTCCAAACTGGGGAATAATCCTCCCATCATCTTTCGGATCTCCTCACTTATTAACTTTCTGTAACAACAAATTTAAAGTTACAATTCATAGATATAAGAGCATGTTTTTAGCCTTGTTAGAGAGAAACATACCTTAAATGGTACAATATATTGGACAAGTCTTTGAGTTTCTTATATACTGTGAATTTCAAAATAAAACATTCAAATCTTGCACATTTGTGAGTTTTATTCTGTATAGTCGGAGCAAACAAAAATTCAGAGCAAAAACTGAGCAGAGCTGTAGTCTCTCAACAAGGTTAACACCATGGAATTTACAACTACAACAATTCATAACTTAATAAATCTAAACATATATAAATACAGGGTGTCCAATAAATAAGGTGAAAGATACTGTAACTTTCTTAATATTGCACCAATCTTGATGAAATTTCCAGAGTTTGTAGCCCAAACCTTTTTACCTTTATTCTGTGACTTTAAAGCATCTTCTATTTGATTGGCCAGAGTTGTGGTTGCTATAGCAACAGAAACAACAAAAGGCGGGGCAAGTTTGTTTACGTCACAATTTCCAAAACATGTTTATTCTTTCTGATAGCTTTACTCATACTCCCAGGTCTATTACTACCACAAATACAATATAAAAACAGTCCTAAAGTCCCATTGTTATGAAAATAAGCTATTCAACATAATGTCCATCTCTAGCTATACGCTTCTTATGCCTATTCACCCACTCCCTAAACACACTTTCAAACCCATTCTTGCCCATTTCCTGAAGTCTTGCTAAGACATGTGATCTGAGTTCATCAGTGCTTCCAAATTTATTTCCTCTCAAGTTGACTTGAACTTAAGTTCTGCAAGTAAAAGTCATAGGGTGCAAGGTCTGGGGATTATGGAGGGTGTGCAAGTAGGGATAGTTTCACTAGTGAGCATAGTTGTGTGTGGGGGGGCATTTTCACAGTGCAGCAGGAACTTCTCTCCTGGAAGTTTTTTTAACGGAATGGGTTTGAAAGTGTGTTTAGAGAGTGGGTGAATAGGCATAAGAGGTGTATAGCTAGAGATGGACATTATGTTGAATAGCTTATTTTCATAACAATGGGACTTTAGGACTGTTTTTATATTGTATTTGTGGTAGTAATAGACCTGGGAATATAAATAAAGCTATCAGAAATAATAAATATGTTTTGGAAAGTTGTGACGTAAATAAACTTGCCCCGCCTTTTTGTTATTTTGGTTGCTATAGCAACCACAACTCTGGCCAATCAAATAGAAGACGCTTTAAATTCACACAATAAAGGTAAAAAGGTTTGATCTACAAACTTTGAAAATTTCATCAAGATTGGTGCAATATTAAGAAAGTATCTTTCACCTTATTTATTGGACACCCTGTATATATTTCCAATAGTTTCTAAAATACATGCAAACTGGGACAATAATATAACAATAAAGTGAACAATTAAATCATTAAGCACTAACCACAAATTATTGAATTAGTAATCTATACTAAGTAAAAAATATATTTATCTATTCCATATATTTCTACCTACGCATTTATGGACAAAGTTAGCATTCGAAGAAAGCAGCTAAACAAACATTATAACAAGTTCAAACAGTGTAATAAAATATGATTAACAATTGCTGGTTATTGTTTAGCAATGAATGACTTTGATTATCACAACTGGACATAAAGTTTTACAGTATCAATTCAAAAGGTAATATTCAGCTTAAAATTTTGCTATAATATGTGAAGATAAAGACCCTCCAAGAAAGATCATGCAGCAAAATAAATAAAAAACTCAGGGACATAGCAGTTAACAGCACATAGTCTATCCTTGTATTCGCGAATGCAACTCTGCTGTCAGCTACTGGATTAACTTACTATTTTATGGGTAATTCATTTAAATATGAATGGAATAGTGGCAGGTACTACTCATATTTAAATGAGTTACCCATAAAATAGTAAGTTAATCCGGTAGCTGACAGGCGTTGGTTGCATTCGCGAATACAAGGTATATTTCATGTCTTTGCTTCCCTTGCTGTTTCCAAAACCAATTGAGTTTAAGAGAGAATGGCAGAGGGTCACAAACTTTTGATACAAGACCAATGGTAAACTAAATCTACAGCCACAATACGATAAAGCATAATAATTATGTAAAAGCCAGTAACTACAATAATTGTTGGCTAACTATTTCATAAGGACACTGACATTGAATGCCTAAGTCTTATGGTTGTCAAAATGGCAGCTAGAAGACTATTTCACTATATATCAAGCACTATAACTGTATGATATGCACAATATTTACAACAAAGCACAAGAGTTGGAAAATAAGCATAACAATTGTACAATATTATGCAATAGCTGTACAATAAGTATAACAATTTTGTAATAAAAGACATGCAGAATAAAAAAAAAGAGAATATAATGCCACACCAAATGGTATAAATCCCAATAGCAAACATATCCACTGCATAGAAACCGACTTTAATGATTAATCTATTCAATAAACACATTAAGCAGATTATGATTATGATAGTCAAAATTTGGATGACGTCATAAGAAAAGTCAAAGAGAGTATTCCTGTTATTGTATTTTGTGAAGGTTGGACAATGCAGGGGTCACACAAGGTCAAGGTCATCATTGTTATGATTATGTAAGGTGAGAGATATCATTATGTAAGTCAAAAATATCAATAAGGTCCTATATCTAATCACTATGGTGACTACAAAAGGTCGCACTCGTACATAATGTCATCTTTATGATAGTCACAAAATGTCAAGGCTATATATGTAATCACTATGGTGACTACAAAAGGTCACGCTCATACATAATGTCATCTTTATGATAGTCACAAAATGTCAAGGTTATATATGTCATCACTATGGCAATCACTAAAGGTCACTCTTGCGCATATGTCATCTTTATGGTAGTCACAAAATGTCAAGGTCATAGCTAGACGTAATCACTATGGCAATCACTAAAAGTCACACTTGCGCATATGTCATCTTTATGATAGTCACAAAATGTCAAGGTTATAGATGTAATCACTATGGTGATCAGAAAAGGTCACCTGTTAATAAGGCTAAAGTTACGGAACAGAAATGACAAAATCATATTTCCATATTATTGGGTTAATGATTAGTGGAATAATGTCAAAGATGGAAAATGAAGAAATATTGTTTAGTCAACAAATTAAGAAAGCTATATATATAAATTAAAAACAACACCCTAAATAGAAAACAAACCTTTCCATTTCCATGATCCATTATGTTTCTTATATAATAAAAATCTCAAATATTCCCCTTTAACCCAATGCCGAAATATTAAGTTCATTATAAATATCGAGACTTCGAAATGAGTGAAAATCATAAAGGAAATATTTGAGATTAATGAGATAAGACCTAAGAATCATGGGAATGGTTGACATCTTGTGTAAACATATACCTGTTGGATTTTTGTAGTCTGTGGTAAAAAAGATAAAATCATTATACTGCTGTACATGCGTAAAACATACAAATCAGCATGCAAAAGCGCAGACAATCATTTTCAATTATTTAATGCCAAATATTTTAAGATGTCAAGCTGATACCCCATGGTTGTATCTGGAATTTCAAACTCTAGGAACGTTTACTTTTTTTGTTATTTTACATCAGAAGCAAGAAATATTGACCAAATATTTACAGTTGTGGAAAAATGGAATATTGTCATTATGGTACACCCCCTAGTGTTGACATCTAGAATCACCCCTAAATCATTTATAGAAATTTGCAATCAATATACATTACATCATTAAAATTGTTGTTACGGCAACTATCTTTTTGATAAAATGGTAGATCATCATATAAATTGAGTGATTATCCCTTTGTATTCTCTGATTGTTTAAAACTATAATAATCAGCAACTTGTGATACAGACATACATTAATACAAGAACTGTTAAACAATATATAGCTCTCTCTCAAGTGAGTGGGAGGGGGTAGGGGTGAATTTGGGGTAATTGGAACTACAAGTACAATGTAAAAACACTTACTCCTCCGGACTGTATTTTTTTGGTTGACCATCCTCATCAAAATATTCCTTTTCCTGAAAAAGAATTGCAATTCTAGTAAGTGCACTTATTTCTATATTTGAAACATTTACAATATACTTTTAAAATGCAAAAATAGGTGAATTAATCATAGCTACCTCAGGAAATAGTTTTTCATTTAGTTTCTGGAACTTTGAGGGTGAAGAGTGATCGATCCAAATCTAGGGCATACTCAACACAATAAGTGAAACATGAAGACATGATTGGGAGTTTATACAATACATGTAACATCAAAGACTGAAGGCCACTGCAATAAGTGTAACATGAAGACATGATTGGGCATTCATCCAATACATGTAACATCAAAGACTGAAGGCTTTTCAACTACAATAAGTGTAACATGAAGACATGATTGGGAATTCATACAATACATGTAACATCAAAGACTGAAGGCTTTTCAACTACAATAAGTGTAACATGAAGACATGATTGGGAATTCATACAATACATGTAACATCAAAGACTGAAGGCTTTTCAACTACAATAAGTGTAACATGAAGACATGATTGGGAATTCATACAATACATGTAACATCAAAGACTGAAGGCAACTACAATAAGTGTAACATGAAGACATGATTGGGCATTCATCCAATACATGTAACATCAAAGACTGCAGGCAACTACAATAAGTGTAACATGAAGACATGATTGGGAGTTTATACAATACATGTAAAATCAAAGACTGAAGGCTTTTCAACTACAATAAGTGTAACATGAAGACATGATTGGGAATTCATACAATACATGTAACATCAAAGACTGAAGGCAACTACAATAAGTGTAACATGAAGACATGATTGGGAATTCATACAATACGCGTAACATCAAAGACTGAAGGCTTTTCAACTACAATAAGTGTAACATGAAGACATGATTGGGAATTCATACAATACATGTAACATCAAAGACTGAAGGCAACTACAATAAGTGTAACATGAAGACATGATTGGGAAATAATACAATACGCGTAACATCAAAGACTGAAGGCTTTTCAACTACAATAAGTGTAACATGAAGACATGATTGGGAATTCATACAATACGCGTAACATCAAAGACTGAAGGCTTTTCAACTACAATAAGTTAGTGTAAGAAAAAAGACATACTCACCACAATGAGTGTAACATCAGGGGACTGTGGCTCAGTTGAGAGATGGAAGAAGCGTACACAGAACTCTTGTTCATTGAGACACACAGGCTCTAACTCACTAAGCACTGTGTTAAATAGCTACAAGACAGACATCAACATATTATTCAGTATTCAATATAGGTTAGATGGGGAGGGGGATGATAGAGAATAAGTTGCCAGTTAGTTTCAAAAAGCACAAATTACATAAAAATATCTCTCAAAAGCTCTGATTTTCAATTCATAAAGAATTATTTCAACCTTACGAAGTACATGTATGAGTATTGGACAATGTTTAAAATACTGAATATAAAACCTGCCATAGATGGAACTTGGTCACTCCAATATGGACATTACATAGCAATGCGAGTAATGCTATGAGACTTGTCAAACTTATAGATAAACCAAATTTCTAAAACTCCTCCCAGTGTGAAAGCATGTACTTACAGAATCAAACTTGCTTCTGGTAAGGTCAAGGTCAGATCCATGGACAGAGTCAGTATCCAATGAGTTGAATGAAGAGCTCTTCTTATGGGAGGTTGATTTGTTCAGGCTGCCTTGGGAACCATCTAGACTGGGCTGAACGGAGTAAAATGTGGCTGAAAGAATACATGAATATGTCACCACTTGGCTGCTACAAAAGTGATATGATTTGTTACAGAAGCAGATTAGTGAATGTTGACAGTGCTAAATATGTCACCCCTGTTTGGGACGGATGCCTTGCATGGAATGTCATTAAAACGTTGATTATATTTGTCAACCAACAGACAAGTATATGTGATACAATTTTGATTACTTCATATTTAGACTGTTCACTCCACTTGTTTTGACCCATTAATATTTTACCACTCAATAGAACTGATACAGAGCAGAAAAGTTCAAGCAAAATATGATTTGACAACATATAATGGAAAAACATCATTGATATTAATGATACACTTTCATTATCCCACAATTATATTTATCTGAACAAACAATGTGGTGAAGAATAATATATACCAGTAGGGGTTGATAATGCGCACTGGTTAACTTAATTATACTATTATACTTTTTATGGAATTTCATTTAGCGACTGGAGAAAGAAACACCTAGTTGACTTTGAACTTTCAAATTCAAACGGACAAGAACAATGGTTTTCACCACTATGATGTTTCTGAGACTGTGTTTAACCATCAGTAAGTATTTTAATTTTAGTTTACTTTGAGGAATTTACTTCATACTTATATCCATGATAAAGTTGTTTTATGATGTGGCAAACGACATTGTCCATTGGCAAATATGACATTAACATGACAAAATGTCATCGCCAGTTATTGGAAGTTGTAAGGATTTGTTACAGACATCGAACACCGAACACCAATCAGCGAACACCAATAACAAAAGGTTGGAGACTATAACAAAATGTCATCTCTTTTGGTGATGACATAATTACTGTGTTATATTTTCCATTTTCTAAATCAAAATGCTGAGATTTACAAATTTTCGATGTATTCATACATCTTCATCAGGTTAACTTGAATAGATGAGTTTACCTGACAAAGATGTATGAATATTGAATACATCAAAAATTAGTAAATCTCAGCATTTTGTTTTGTTTTAAAAACTTATAAAGATATTACGTTCCATTTTCTAGGTATATTGAGCATCAATGGGGCTCTCAGCCAGACATGCAAGAAAGATGATATCAACCAACTAAGCGATGACTTTTCTAGGAGAATAAATAAAGTAAAAAGTGATATAACTGACCTGACATCAAAAATCAGTGATCTTGATACCAGACTAAATGAGCGAATCACAGCTCTACTAAATCACATTAGAAAAGGTTCGTAGAAACATGAGTTTAAGTTATTACATAACAAAACCAACGTCATATATAATGTTTAATTACAAGATATATTTGCCTTATGCCAACTCAGAACAAAGTACATATTTTCACCTCGTATTTATGCATAAAACAATGTCAATATACAGCTAAATATTAGAAATAAAAAGCAAAAATGCACCAAAATTGATAATTGATTGCAAATTTTACGACACTACGTCGTAAAATGAAGGTGAAAGAACTTTCCCGGGAATATCATTATGACTACAGTTAATCATAAACACTTATATTAATATCTGTATATGACTCTGAATTTGTGTGCTAAATTAAGTCATCTTAGAAAGGTATAATTGTATCTGCTTGATATTGTTTAGATTTAAGGATGTGGTTATGTGGTTCAAAAGTGTTTATAAAGTGCATAAATAAAAAAAATAGTCAAAATTTATATCACAATAGTTTTATATAACCTATCTTTGGTCCAAAACCACTTGAAAGATGCTAAGAATGGTGAAATTCTGCATGATTTTTGGCCAGGATGAAATCTCCTGGCTACAGGCCTAAAATAGCTTGATTTCCCATAGTCTAGCTACAAGCCTTTGTGGCACCCCCCCCCCCACCCACCCCCCCCCCCCCACCCACCTCTACTTGCCTAAATGCCTGAAACACCTGGGAGGGGGGGGGGTCATCACAAGGGCTTGTAGCTAGACTTGATTTTCCCATAGCGAGCAAATCCTCTGATTTAACCTCATGTATTAATAATTAAAGGAGCACCAGAAATATGTGATGAGTCTTTAACTGAATGTCCAGAGGGCTTCATATACCAGAGAAGTCTTAGATCATGCTACCTGTTTGTGAAAGAAAAGGTGACATGGGAAGAGGCGAAGTCCAGTTGCTCGTCCAAAGGGGCACATATGATAGCCATTGAATCTGAGAAAGAACAAAAATTTCTAGAAAGGAAATTAAAAGCAATGGGGAAAGTCTGGTTTTGGTTAGGTAACGTAATGTAATATCGATACTTTATTTTGCAATAGAAAGAAACAAATTGACACAAGGCATTAACATGCAAAATGTCACCACCTGCCATTTGTTACAGACATCAAACACCAATGGCCAACCAACCCCATAACACTGTCCACAAAAAAGTTCAAGTTGGAGACCATAACAATATGTCACCGCTTGTGGTGGTGACATAACTGAATAAATGACTCTTCAAATTGAAAACACAATTGTACCTCGATCACTTAAATTATTGCTCATAAAAAAGATAGATAACAAATTCAATTGATTTTTTGCATTAATAAGGTGGGATACGTTTGGAAGGAAGTGGTCCAAAAGGAAGCCACGTGTGGAGTGAGGGCGGATGCTTTAAGTCGAAACCTTTAGAGTACACTAATTGGTTTCATGAAGAACCAAGTTATTTTGGCGTTGAGTACTGCATGGAAATATCACAGAGATCCAATGATGGTCCGTATCAATGGAATGATGTGGTGTGCTGTAATAAGATGTATTATATTTGTGAAATTAATTTGTAGATCACAAAAAATAAATGCCAGTAAGGGGCAATAAAACTAATATAATATGTTATTGAATTGTAACAATTCTAGCATCCTTTTTGTAGCTGTACAAATACCAAATGATTTAATCTTATTTGCATGCATCTTGATCAAACTATTCACATGATGAGAATCAGAATGTTCCTTTCTAATTAATTTCTACCTGTGAAGACTTTCAGGGAACCCAAAGCAGTGTTAACTCCACTTGTACATAGATATAGTTATAGTAAATATTGAGCAAAACTTACATGTTTTACGGCTCTCTGTTGCTTTATGTATTGTAATCTTTTGTTTTGCCGACTCAAAGAAATCTCGTATTTCTCTGTCATAAAGTTTGCTTAGACTAGTAGTATACACCTGGAATTGAAAATATTAAGAAACTTGAATTTCAAAAGCTGAGGCTTTAAAAACAGCCAATAGAAATATCTATACTAATGCAATATACAAATGTACATGAATATAGATCATGTACTGTAGTAGTTTAACTCAGAACAAAGAGACATCTTTCTAAAATATTATAAACATTACAAACTACAATGTACTTATTTGTTGATACTAGCAATAGAAAATGTGAGAGACTGGTTCGGCTTGCTATATATTTGAATGGCACAGACCAGCCATCAGCCTCCAACAATGGGCCTGAGGCAAAACATTTTAGTGCAAAAATTCAACCTATACTGGAAAGAAAAGAATATGTACACATGATTTTTTCATGGATCAATTGAACCACAAAAATGATTGCTCTTATTTAAGCTCAAATGTTTTTCTGATGAACCATTTTCACAATATATTTAGAATACCACAAACAATATATCTGTACTTCAATAATCATGTTGAATCTTTTCTAATAAAGGACCCACGGTCCTGTGCTCACACAGTGTTTTGTGCAACCAATGATGATTGACTTTATACATGAGAGGTCAAATAGGCATTATGAATATGCATAAAATGAATGTGGATATGACTCAATCCGAAAAGCAGTTTTAATCTGTGCGGCCAATGTTGACGGATGAACGGACCAATGGATGGACCTACATACGGATGCCTGGTCGATCCCATAGGCTCACTGTGTGAGCCAGAAATCATTATCACAGGATGTGCACTATTTTAGTAATTAAAGTTTTGAATACTTTACCTTAGCCAATGATGTATAATGTTGATTCTCAACAGTCTTCAACCACAACATATGCATACCTTACCTTGGCCAATGATGTATAATGTTGATTTTCAACAGTCTTCAACCACAACATATGCATACCTTACCTTGGCCAATGATGTATAATGTTGATTTTCAACAGTCTTCAACCACAACATGAGCTCAGCATATGGAAGAAGGTCTCTATGGCTTGAATGATGCTGGGGCAGCTTAAGATCTTGTGTGTGCCTGCTCAGTGTCTCCATCTCATTTCCCTGTATATAAAAAAAAACTCAAACTCAAGTCAAGGAAACTAAGTATGGAGGTTTTTGTTTTTATCTATTCATAAAAGCGGATGTACAGATATAACTGATACAAGTAAATAATATTGTTAAATAGCATCATCAGGGGCTGATCCCCGCATGGGCATTAATGAAATCTGCAGCAGTGGTAGCAAAAATATTGGAAGGGAGGGGGGGGGTTCTGAGCTTGATTTGGTATGGGATTGAAATCATGAGAGTGAACCAATAGTTGTTTAAATGGTAGAGCATCAGGGCATGTAACAATAGGTTCAATCCCCACCTAGCAATTAAAAAATGAGAATAGTGATTCCTAATAATTTGAGAATCAAACCCAAAATTGTGGACTGGGAGTCTAGAATGCTATATTTCAGATTCATGACTTAATTATTCACATACACGATGCACATATCCGCTAATTTTGTTTTTTCATATAAATGCACTCACCTGATGTATGAAGAGGTTGTTGAGATGGTGTGAAACACGTTTGGCAAATGTTGACTTCAGTTTGTCAAACCTCCTTTGTTGCTCGACAACTGCCTGCATCTTGCTGAGTGCTGAAACACATGTAAAATAAAGTAGTTATACAGCAAACTAAAAGCTCTAAAGAGCAAGCCCAATGAATGTTCACAATGTGCAGCATTATCCAGTCAATTATATTCATTTTTGCCACCTTTTGACATTTTACTACAAACCTATACAAATTTAGAAGCTCGATTTAGTAAAATTAGATGGCAGAGATCATTTTTACACATTCTAAAGCGTTTTTGTGGAAAGTGGATGAAAATTGTTCAAATAAGAGCAATTTAAGTGAAAAATTTTGTGACAGATTTTCTCGTCATCCTGGGTTTTAACCTCAGGTGGTCAAGAGGTTAATTTGAGATAAAACAGAAATTCATTTCTTGGGAATTCAATACATGTACTTTCAAACTCATGAAAATACTTTTGCATAAAATAATTGTACATACCTGGATGTATCTCTACATTCATGCAATCCTGCAGGGACTGTGCAGCAACAGTGCTCTCATAGATACCAGTGGGGGTTGAAAGGTCACCATCAAGTAAAGACTTCATGTGTTTGTGATCAAGGTCAAGTTTACTCTAAAATTGTATTGGTCTATATTAGTACTAAGCTTTTATTATGGACTCATACCTATAGTTCTTTTTCGGGAAAGCATCTAATGTTGGACTTTTGTCGGTATTATGTGTTTTAAACAAGAAATGATTTTGATTCAGGTGATCTTTATGAATATTTGCCGTTTGACCCGAGATGGAGGAAAGGGTAAGTTCAAAATGGTAATGTATATATTGGAATCTATGAAACAAATTTTAAGAAAACTTTTTGCATTTTTCATGTGAAGATGCTCCAGCAGATCCCTCAAAAAACACAAATTCAGCCTGATATAGTTATAACTCATTCCTAAAATGTATGTACACAGAGGAACACATTGGAGTATGGAATAAACACTGATCATCCTATATTCCAACATGTTTGTCTGCTCACGATAATGGAATTATCTACTTATTCAAAATTATGAGAGAAAATGGGTGGAACAAGGCATGACAAGAAAGAGCCATGGTTACTTACAATGAGTTTGTCTAGTTCATCCAGAAGTTCTTTATGATTCCTATTCTTAATTTGTATAAATGTGTCTTTGTCTTTCATTATTTCCATTTGGTCTTTCACACTCTAAAATGAAAAACAAGTTAAACTACAATATGTACTAAAAGATATGACACCTCAAAGTTATCTTAAAAACCATAGATCTAATGGTTGTTATGGTGTCGCTATTGTTTTTTATTTAAATCATTCAAATGACTGAAAACAACAACTTGTGGTAGTCTTGGTTGGCTTGGCAAGAAAGGGGCTTGGTTGGTTTATAATAAAATGGTTTAGTTGTTTTGAAATGAAAGCCGATTGGCTGGCTTGAAATGCCAAGTTAAGACTGGCTTGAAACTAAAGAGCCAAAAATGAATGGGACTTTGTTGGCTTGAAAATGAAAAGAAATATCTTGTCTTGAAATAAGTGAGGTTTAGTTGGATTGAAAATGAAAGAGACTTGGTTGTCTTGAAATAATAGTCCATTTATTTATTTAATTCATACTCTCTCACCTGCAGCAAGTTGTCATAGCCATCAAGTTTCTGTTCTATTTCTGTTGCTTCGTCTAGAGCGACATCTATAAACTGCATCAACTTGTGGACCTGTTCCTCTGAACTCATAATCGAGTGAATATTTGCCTGAAATGAACAACATACTAATTTTAAGCCATAGGATTAGGGCCGGGCCCTCTCTTTCTTGACACAAATTGATTGATGTAAATCATGATAGCTAATCTATACTAGGTCCCATATATTTGCAATAGATATGGATTTTTTTGTTCAATGCCTGACCATATGCAACTATAGTTGCGCATCTCTGTTACATTGCTAAAAGAATGCATTATGCTCAACTGAATGACTGAGAAAAACTGAAAGAATCATACAATGTCATCAACATTTTCCCAATGGAAGAAGAGATAAATGTATTTGGAAATGACCTAAAAATGTTCAACCTTTAAGCGATGGAAGTAACACATATATTGTGTATTTTAAACTAAATGAATTAAGTTGCACTCACTCCGTCCAATATAGAGAGATCTTTACTGAGTTGTTCCCCAAATGCTTCAGCATTGCTTATAGCAAACTCACAGTCCTTCATTAAACTCTCAAGGTCCTTCTCCTCTCTGGCAGTAATATTAGCATATCCTTCTTCTGATGGTGGGAGCAGCTCCTCTAAACCTTTTTTAGTGGAGCCAGACTCACCAACAGCCGTGACATCTACAAACAAATAAAACTTATTTAATTTTAGCACAGGCTGGTATCGAAAGATTTGTCCGCTGTAACGGAGCATGCTATTTTTAATAAAAACACTAAGAATACTTCACAATTCATTTTTTAACTCAACAGCCGTGACATCTACTGACAAATAAAATTTATTTAATTTTAGGACCTAGGGCAGAAGTAATGTAAGAGTATCAATACTGTACTCCCAGTATTTTTCGTGTGCGATTTAGTTTCGTGCTTTTCGAGATTGTGGTTAAAATCGTGAAAATTGATCTGTGCGAAATTGTCAATTAAATCCCCAGGATTTGTGAAGTTTTTCATTACCTGGGACCCCATTGCATTTCGTGTTTTGTAAAATGTTTGTCAAGTGTTTTTAGGGTATAAAGGGGATACTAAGTAACAATGTCTGTTACAGTGGCTTATTAGATCAAATAAACCAAAACGATTACGATGTAATAGAGGTTAAGGTGCACGCGTCGTTGACCAAGATGACATAGTAGTTGGTGTACTTAATAAAATTCGCAAAATTTAATAGCCGCAAAATCATGTTTTCTCAAAATTCGCGAAATTAAAACTCGCGAAATTAACCTGGAGTACAGTATTCCATACAATCAATATAACAATTAAGTTGCACAAGTATTCCAGGCATAAGGCAATATTTTGAATTAGATTGTTCATATGTAGGATCCTTAATTTTCAGGAGGGCGTACTTCAGATAATTTAGACTTATCCAACCTGTAGCCTTACATCATGGCTTATGGCCTTACATCCACATATACAACCATTTTGGTTAAACTTACCCTCTAATAAACTTGAGTGTACATTAAGAAATTCTGGTTTCTGCTGAAGGTATCTCTGGCATAGCTGCAATGGATAACAACAACATCAATGCTTAGTCAGTAAGGCATTAGAATGAACAAGAAAATAGAATAGTGAACACCTTATACCTTACATACCTTACACACCTTACACCTTGTAAAGTGGGTGTGTCTAGTATCCTTCATAAACAATTTCCCATTAGATTTGTTCCTTATACAGAGATTTTCCCTTTATGAGTCTGACTTCATTAAAAACTTTTTATCAAAAATCGATATAATGTAATACTATTGATACATTTCCAAACTTTATTCAATAAAAACTCTGTCATCTCATTCATCTGAACCTGGTCACATGGTTGTAAAAACTGAAAATATATTTTCATTTATATATTGTAAATGCAAATTGAAAAATACACTAACCTTCCAAAGACATGTGATGAATGAGTTCTTCTCTTGAATATTACTGGCTGTCCATTTAAATGTCTTATCTGGCATTACAATGTCAAAATCTGCTATATCCTGAAAATAATTTAAACAGAAATATAACATGCATGTAGAGATGGAATTACATGTAGTAATTGAAGTAGAGTCTGTGAAGAAAATGTAAAAAAATGTAAAAAGGCATGCATGTACATATATTTAACACTTTATTTATTTTGATTATTAAACAAATTCTGTAGCAATACAAAAAATAAGAAGATACAAAGACAGAATGGCTGATCAAGGTACCTTAGTTATGTCCTTATTATCAAATTGCCGGAGGCTCCTGAGTGGCCATGATGTCTTTTTCTTGTATGTGTCCCCCTTGTCTGCCTTCTTTACTAGATACAAGAACACTTGAACTGGTTTCTCAGTGGTCACTGGAATACAAATAAACATATGAGAACCCTTAACATCACTTAAGGCATGACAAAAGGTCACCTCCTACAGTACATTACAAAACATGCACATATAGAGAGGAGAGGTGCTCACTTGGAGCATGTCTTGTAAGGTCCTGTAGTTTTCACATAGTTTTCGGGAATGACGTCATACTATTATATATTTTCGTCCAGTGTATAATGAAATAGCACACCTAGCGGATGGCACTTAGTTTAAAATTCTCGCCCGATGTGTTTTGACTCAATAGGCAGATTATCATCAAACTTTTACAATGAAATTCACACTAGATGAAATAAATAATAATGAAAGTTCAAGGTAGAATATGCAAGAATGATTGACAGTGTTAATCAACTTTTCTTCGGTCCTGTTTTCTTTGGACACCTTTTCTTTGGACACCTTTTCTTTGGATACCTTTTCTTTGGGCACCTTTTCTTTGGATACCCTATGCAATCATTTTGTTTTGACCCAACCTCTGAAACTGACCAAGTTTACTACCTGCAGCACAGAGAAAACTTGCTTTCTTCTTTTTGCCTGCCTTGTTTACATGAACCACACCAATGAGTCTCTCATCACAAGGAAGGAACACTTCACGCTGTAATGTGTGCTTTATAGCAGTCATTTTCTGAAAATATAAACACTTCACGCTGTAATGTGTGCTTTATAGCAGTCATTTTCTGAAAATATAAACACTTCATGCTGTAATGTGTGCTTTATAGCAGTCATTTTCTGAAAATATAAACACTTCACGCTGTAATGTGTGCTTTATAGGCAGTCATTTTCTGGAAATATAAACACTTCACGCTGTAATGTGTGCTTTATAGCAGTCATTTTCTGAAAATATAAACATTTCACGCTGTAATGTGTGCTTTATAGCAGTCATTTTCTGAAAAATATAAACACTTCACGCAGTAATGTGTGCTTTATAGCAGTCATTTTCTGAAAAATATAAACACTTCACGCTGTAATGTGTGCTTTATAGCAGTCATTTTCTGAAAAATATAAACACTTCACGCTGTAATGTGTGCTTTATAGCAGTCATTTTCTGAAAATATAAACACTTCACGCTGTAATGTGTGCTTTATGGCAGTCATTTTCTGAAAATACAAACACTTCACGCTGTAATGTGTGCTTTATAGCAGTCATTTTCTGAAAAATATAAACACTTCACGCTGTAATGTGTGCTTTATAGCAGTCATTTTCTGAAAATATAAACACTTCACGCTGTAATGTGTGCTTTATGGCAGTCATTTTCTGAAAATATAAACACTTCATGCTGTAATGTGTGCTTTATAGCAGTCATTTTCTGAAAATATAAACACTTCACGCTGTAATGTGTGCTTTATGGCAGTCATTTTCTGAAAATACAAACACTTCACGCTGTAATGTGTGCTTTATGGCAGTCATTTTCTGAAAATACAAACACTTCACGCTGTAATGTGTGCTTTATAGCAGTGATTTTCTGAAAATACAGTTGAGTTAGATTTTTAGAATTAAAAGAATAGAATCTCATGATTCATAAGATATGATATTCTTCCACAAATGTTTATGTTTATTTCCTTTTTTAAATTCACACAATTATACAAAGCATGAGTGGTTGACACTTAAAAAAGTGTATATTCCCAGCAAATTTTTACAATAAAAGTTGTGTGTTGTCATACCTGTTAAAGTAAAGTTGGGGACTTGTCTTTGCATTCAACCATACAAATGTTCATGTTTTGCTTGTCACATCTAAATAGACCCATTGAATACAAACATACATGAGGGGTTGATAGATGGAAGCTGTAAACAGCGGCTAGTCAGAAATAAATATCAATCGAGTCAAAAGAATCAAAACTGTGTTTGATTATAATAATAAGAATCTGATAAACTGAGCGATATATTATGTCCAGTAATAGAGGACAAAAAAGAATACACAAGAGAAGGGGTGGGAGGGATGGATATGATATCTGCATGAGTGAGTGTAGCAGTGAGTGCAGATAGTAATATCCATGAGTAGATAAAAGTCATATCATGAGTTAATCATAGGATATTCTTTTTATATATTCTATTGTTAAATAGTGCTTGCTTAGAAAACTTAGTTCCTAATCATCACAACTGATCAGTCAACCCTGTTTTCCATGGGTCTAATGAGAATTTGCCAAAATATGACATTTATCTACTGGTAACAAATACACCTGTATCCCATTTTTATTCTGGCTTGATATCTTATTATCTGAATATCACAGTAACTTGGAATAATTATTGCTCTTTGTATTTTTTTCTTTTTCTGTGATTTTTGTGACTTTTGTGAAAGTATAAGTGTCTAAAATATCATAAAGTGAACATATAGAACATTCTTTCAAACATAACTATATATAGATGTCACTTATCCCCAGGGCTTTAAATACATCGCTCCCCCTAGTTTTCTGCATTTTAAAATGCTAAATTCTGTGAATGAAATTTGTGAATTATGCAAGGGGAAAAGGCTAATTCTGCAGAAATTCTGTGGAAAATATTGTGATATATATAATAAAAACAGGAAAATATCATGATAGTTACGCAGTCAGTCACTACGTCACTATTCAATACATGCTGCCATCTAGAGACAAAAATCAAACGATGAAGTTTAAAATTTTCACTTTGGTCAGGTTATTTCTACAAGGGATTTGACCGAAATCTTGTGAAATTGTTATAGGTCACACTGACTATTTAAACTTTTGGAAAATATATCGATTCCACAGAAAATTCCATGGAGATTGACCAAAATAGTTGATTCTGCAATTCTGTGGGCAAAAGCAAATTCCACCCACGCTCCGCAAACATGGAATCCTTGGGGCAGTGATAATATCATAAATGAGTGACTTGTTGTTAACATACAGATTTGACACAGGGGTTTCATTAGCAGCAGGCAACAGGTGATTTTCACCGGTTGTTTTCACAAAATCGCCTGTTGTTTTTAGGGACTTTTCCATGTTAAATTTATGATTTCTATTAATTTTTCCTGTTGTTTTCATTTATTTAGCCTGTTGTGAAAAATTCTAGTGAAACCACTGTGACCTCAACTATGACATAATTGGAACACTGCATATCTTTACTATTTTACCTCTTCCTTTATATATTCCAGTTGGTCTTCCTCAGATTCAAAATGCATACTGATTGCAGCAGTACGACGACTACGAACATATTCAGGTTTTTCAACCTTAAGATGCGGTAAATCTTCCAAAGGTGAAGCCATTTTTACTGTCATATACAAATGCCTATATTACAGCATTTCTTGTAAATAGATCTGATAGCTGGCACAGATTATAGAGTTTCCGTTTTGCCTCAATAAAACCACTGTACCCATTGGTGAATAGGTGGCATATTAAAAACTTTTAGATTGCTATAGGATATAAGTAGGTTCTTCATGATGTGTCCAGTACCATCAAATATCAAATATATCTGATGTAGCCAGATAGATGATAGAGTTATTCTTCAGGTTTCTTCTTGCTTCATTTTTTCATTTTGAATTACAAATGGTCAAAACCACTGCTCTAAGGTTATATGAAAAAACACTCCAAGTTGCTTAAAAGTTGTTCATAAAATGTATCCAATATCCTCTAAAATATGTCTTATATCTGACAGCTTGTGGCCTTCTATTTTTGTTATGTTATATGCACCCTCTGGTTTAAATTAGCAAATAGTGTCACGGGTAATAAAAACAGCATCATTGTAGCATTTGTAAAACATATTTGTAACTGGATAAATCACGTTGGTTTACGTTGGTTTAAGCTTCTAGAACTATTTGCTCAATAGTTTTTGATTCAATGTAAGCATTAGAAGTTACTTTTCTTCTTTGTTTTATGTTTTCCTCAATTTGGCATGAAGTTTGTGTCAACAGTTTATTATTTACTCTTTATCTACTGATGACCTTAATGGTTGTCATGGTTTTCAGTTTTTTGTCATTACACAATCGAGTAGAATTGAGTGTGATCGAGAGCACTTATACTAGATATCCTTCTTCCTTAAATGTGTGGAATTGTTTCACTTTGGTGGTTACCATTGTTTAATTTAATTACTATGGCACCATAATTCACAATTAATCAGTTTACGATGACACTTGCGTCTAAAATATCAATCTGCTCTCAGCCTTTTCTAGCCTGCTCTCTTAAAATTTAAACGAAGTATTAGCTTTTCAAACATTTATGTACCATTTCGAGTATGAGTAAAAAGTCTGTTTACTTTATTCCTTGCTGATTCCACTTCATTCCACTCTGTCTTCCATTTAAAACATGGCCAAAATGACTTTTCCTCCTGGGTGGCACACTTACATTATCATTTCCCACTTGATGTCAACTAAGTTATAAAATGCCTAAATGTTGTCACCATGGTCATGATGACTCCACATTTTCCTGACTCCCTGCGAGTTATTTTCTAACATCTATGTACTTTGAGGAATTTTGTTAGTTTTGCTAATAATTTTGCATTTTTAATGTTCCGATGGTTGACTCTCCATTGGCTGGTCCACTTAATGTGTGGTTTTCATGTCAACTATGCAAGCATTTACGATGCTCATAAATAGGTATATCTATATAAGGTCAGATAAGCAACTCTGTGGAAATCGCAATCACTGTTTAAATATTTGCAATAAATGTTTGATGAATTCACTGATTAATCCATAATATTACATCAGAATCATCATGCTATTGTCAGTTCAATCCACACCCCTAAAAACCATGAAAACTGACTTTCTCCAACAATTTATACTCTCCTAGTTTGAAAGCTATTCTAGTAATATATACATCACTGCAGCATCGAATTTCCTCAAACTTATAAAAACAAATATTTCCAGCACTTCAACCCCTGTGTATACTGATCTATGCAAATTACAAACTAATGTTTTACAAAAAACTAAAGGTTAAAAAGCCTACTTGAGTTTTAGCACATAACATGCTTTATGTTGCAGATTCTAGACTTCTATACACAAGTGAATTTGATGAAAAAAACAAAATCTATAGAAATATAAACATTTGACAACTTACTTTTTATTAATTAGAAAAAAACATGTAAAATTGTAAAAAACTGTTTGTTTGTGACTTTTAATTCTAGGCATGTAGGGGTGGTTATTTTTAAAAACAGTTATCACATTTCACTTTGTTGGAGCACAGCATATGCACAAGTCAGATGACTAGGTAAGAGTGATGCAAGATGGAAATTCACCTAGAAAATTCTGGATGAAAAACTTAATTCATAATTTTTCAATTCATAAATGTCCATTGTGTATAATTAATTTTATATAAGGAAGCACCATTGCTTGATATGTATAATGATTACATTTTTGAGATGCATAAACTTAAAACTAACTAAACTCAATATTACTAAAGCTGCCATCTATTTAACTTTATCGTAATTATATTCACATATAAAACATTTTAGATAGAATCTATCGAGAGGATTCTTCCAATGAAGTTTCTTCAATATTTATTTGAGATATATTGGCATATTTATTGAAAGATTATTTCTTATATTTTAAACTATACGGTGCTGCATTAAATGCGCATGAAAACCTGTCTATAGAGATCAGGGGTTTCATTAGCAGCAGACAACATGCGATTTTCACCGGTTGTTTTCACAAAATCACCTGTTGTTTTAGGGACTTTTCAACTTTTCCATGTTAAATTTGTGATTTCCATTAATTTTGCCTGTTGTTTTCATTTATTTAGCCTGTTGTGCGAATGGATATAGATCTTATATGAATACAACAAAAGAAATGTCAAAAATTTACATTGGTAATGATTAAGACTCCATTCTAAATATTACAATTTTTGCAGTGTCTCTGCCACGTGTGTACTGCAAGTCTGCAAGTATAATATACATGTAATAGATGTGTTGCCATGCTCGTCTCAAGAACCTTGTGACCCAACCTTTATACCTTCGGCTTCCACTGTATTCCAAGCTTACACGAACTATAAATCCCTGTATGTTTTATTCTGCCGAGTTTTCGGGGTTTTGGTATTATAACCTAACGAAAAATTTCAAAACACACAAGAAGTGATCAATAGTTCAAATCTTTTGGATTGCTACTTTGAGTTTACAGTAAGTTATAATGTAATGACATAAACAACATTTTCCTCCAGTTTTCATCATTATTGTCAAATATCCACCATCCAGAGTCATTACTCTAATTTTAGACGAAATTATGCAATATCAGACGAAGGACAAGGTTTGTTTCAATTAATGGACAATTCTTACAACAAATATTTGGAATATTATCTAAACATTTTGAACATGCTCAAATCAAACAGCACAATGGGCAATCATTGGCGACCATGGATACCACAGCACGATGTCTTTCACTACCTTTATGGTGATTTTAACATGTTCTGAGACCTTTTTCCGTCAGCTTTGTACAGGATTGTCGAAAAAGGAATGCAGTTCGTTTTGAATTTTCATGCAAATGCAAAAATACAAACACAGTTCAATCAAAATTTTGACGCATTGCGTATATGTTACTCATTTGATTCAACTTTCCTTGTTTTCCCCCCTGACAGTGTTAGTGAATGCTAACAAAATGAAATAAGGTGTTCAAATTTTGACCAAGGTGTTCAGATTTTGACCAGGGTGTTCGCAATTTGAAGGAAGTTGTTCAAAATTTGTAAGTCACTCATTTTAAGTGTTCGCAGGTTGACAGGCCTGATAGTACCAAAGATAGAATACCACCACAGTCATGTAGTAGCGTCTTCATGTCATGCTTCACAGTAACAATTTCCATAGTAAATCTTTGTTAGCCTGCGATAGAAAGATAGATAAATTAGTGGGATGCTGCGTTTTTCGGAAATTTTTCAACAAATCAAACTTCAAATAAAAAAAGAATATTTAGGCGCTTTACATCAAACTTTCTTTTACTCACCAATGTTTATGGATTACTACTTTAACGAAGAATGCATCTGTTTTTTCTTTGGACGCTTTGCTTGTTTCTACGTCAAGCAATTTGACTTTATTCGATTAAAATTTGCAAAACGCCTTATTTCCGGGTAGCTGCCATCTTGCGCACAAAACTACTGCGCATCAAATAAATGTTTACATCCGGTTTCACTTTCGGTTTTAGGGACATGTCATTCTGTTTGTATGTTCATGTATGCTGCTCTTTGGAGATGGTTCGTGTTGAATCTGATTTTCTAATAAGTCCGAATAATGGGTTATTTGTTAGCTCAATTGCAAGTTCAATAAGAAAATTCTACATTATTGTAATTTTCATGTAGAACAGTAGAAGTCAGAATGGTTTTAATAACACCAACAAGCAATGTGTCATGGTGTAGACTAACTTCAAATGTTAATATACATAAATACATGTACATCTTCTTACAGAAATATCAATAATTCATGAAGCCCATCATTCTTTACATCTTTAATGATAGAGCAAGACACAACAGTTCAATGTAAAAACAAATGATTGTTTTTTGACATCCTGTATTCCTGTATCAAGCATATGCATTCTTAAATAGATTCAGTAATTGGACTCTCTAAATCATGTGTTTTGCTTTATAATTGGGAGCATTATTATGCATTAGCATCTCATAGAAACTTAATTAATTGCAATGGCAGGTAGCCAGCTACATTTGGGGTCATATTTTTTCATTTAGATTATTATATTTAAATATTTCTTCTATTAAGAGCTTTCTGTTCTTGAATATGTCTTCAGGGTTCAATATTAAGTCTGACAACTCCGGATAATTTGATTAATAAACATTGTAAAATCAGAAGATCAATAGCTAAAAGCCATGGTGCAAAGTCGACTAAGTCAATATTGTTAAATATAAACAGATAAATATATTTTGACAATTCAATGACAAAATGATGGTTTTGCTTGTTTTATATCTTGAAGTGATATCTAGCCAATTTGGAAAATGCTTTTGAGAATATTGTATACATATGGAATCAATGTAACATTTAAAGGTACAAGTTTAGGGAGAAACAGAGAAAGTGAGCAACTTATCAAAAACTTTTCAATTTCAGAAACTTTTTAGTGATTCCAAAGTAACCATCCAAAATCTGATTTTAACATTTGACATGGAATTTTTGAGATTTTGTATTTAGAATGATAAGATACACATTTGTATGAAAATCAAATTGTTAATTCAATCGTTAATTTTGTCACTTCCTTCCTATATTTCGGATTCTTGCTTTAATTTGGACTGCAATAAAGTACATATACAATAGAACCTGTGTAAGTGGAGCACCCAACATTCTGCCAAAAAGCGTTCCACTTAGGTGTTCCACTTGGGGAGGTTTTGGGTTATACTTCTTTCATCATTCAATTAAATAATCAATTCAACAGACATTATATTTTTTATAACCTTTATTTTATTTCTGACAGGTTTTAAAACAAAAAATATTCATAAACAAGACACACAGTGATAAATATCGCACTTTGAAGAGCAAACTGGCCACCATGCAATTTACCCAGCATGGTCAAAACCTAATCAGACCTTGGCACTAGTCTGCTCTTGCATCTGTAAACATTTCAAGTTGACAAGGTTAGCGGTTTTCCTGCAATTTTGATGACAAGAGTTTATTTGTAGTCTGGAACTTTGGGAAAATTTAGATAATATCGTTTGTGACCTAATTTGATGACCTTCGACCTTGAAAATTTAACTTTTTCAGACCTCAGTAGGTGTTTTGTAATTAAGCTGACCTAAATTTAAATCCAAAATATCAATTTAGAAAATCAACTTTTTTGACCTTTTCAAGGTCACTGAAGGTGAATGAAAGGTCAAATCTGAAATCTAAGGTCAGATTTGAACTTCTGAGAACTTGTAGATGTTTTTAAAAAAAAAATTGGTCAATTTGGAGCAAGTTGAAAAATTCAAAATGGCCGCCAAAGAACTTTGGGAAAATTTAGATAACATCGTTTGTGACCTAATTTGATGACCTTCGACCTTGAAAATTTAACTTTTTCAGACCTCAGTAGGTGTTTTGTAATTAAGCTGACCTAAATTTAAATCCAAAATATCAATTTAGAAAATCAACTTTTTTGACCTTTTCAAGGTCACTGAAGGTGAATGAAAGGTCAAATCTGAAATCTAAGGTCAGATTTGAACTTCTGAGAACTTGTAGATGTTTTTAAAAAAAAATTGGTCAATTTGGAGCAAGTTGAAAAATTCAAAATGGCCGCCAAATTGAAAAATTCAAAATGGTCACCATGTAATTCAGCCAGCATACTCAAAACCTAATCAGATCTTGGCAATAGTCTGCTCTTGCATCTGTAAAAATTTCAAGTTGAACGGATAAGTGGTTTTCCTGGAATTTTGATGACGAAGATTTGTTGAAAAATTCAAAATGGCCGCCACATAGTTTACCCAGCATGCCCTAAACCTAATCAGATCTTGGCACTAGTCTGCTATTGCATGTGTAAAAATTTCAAGTTGAACAGGTTAGCGGTTTACTTGGAATTTTGATGACAAGAATTGATTTGTAGTCTCAAACTTTGAGAAACTTGGATAACATCATTTGTGACCTAGTTTAATGACCTTGACCTTCGACCTTGAAAATTTAAATTTCTCAGACCTCAGTAGGTGTTTTGTAATTAAGCTGACCTAAATTTAAATCCAAAATATCAATTTAGAAAATCAACTTTTTTGACCTTTTCAAGGTCACTGAAGGTGAATGAAAGGTCAAATCTGAAATCTAAGGTCAGATTTGAACTTCTGAGAACTTGTAGATGTTTTTAAAAAAGAAATTTGGTCAATTTGGAGCAAGTTGAAAAATTCAAAATGGCCGCCAAATTTAAAAATTCAAAATGGCCACCATGTAATTCAGCCAGCATACCCAAAACCTAATCAGATCTTGGCAATAGTCTGCTCTTGCATCTGTAAAAATTTCAAGTTGAACGGATAAGTGGTTTTCCTGGAATTTTGATGACAAGATTTGTTGAAAAATTCAAAATGGCCGCCACGTAGTTTACCCAGCATGCCCTTAACCTAATCAGATCTTGGTACTAGTCTGCTCTTGCATCTGTAAAAATTTCAAGTTGAACAGGTAAGCAGTTATCCTGGAAATTTGATGACAAGATTTGGTTTATGTCCCGCCCGCCCGCCCGCCCAACAGCACAAGACGACGGCAATATAGCACTTTTTCAAAGTGCGATAAAAATACAAAAAGACGCAAATGTCATTATTTTGACATTTGATTAGAAATGGCCTGAGCATATTCTAGACAAACTTAAATACGAAAAAACAGCTTTTGCCTTTGGTATCAGCTTGCAAAAAGTTCAGACTACAAAATGTAGTTTGAATTGTGTTAAACCAGAAAAATATTCTGGGTTTTAAAGGTTCCCAAATATAGCCCCACTTAGAGTAAACATAAATATTAGGGGCCATGTCAAACAATGAGTAATTTTTTGCTGTAGTTTAATTGGGGAGATTAAAAGCAAGGTTTATTCAGGGAAAAAAATGAAGATTGATCAGATGATTATGATGCACATGTATTCATCATGTGAACAAGGGGACGGAGATCTGTTGCTCAACACATACATTTTGTGAACAAAAATATTTTTGGCCTAGCCCCTTAGTCACCTCAGGATTTTTGGCCCCGCTTTTGTTTACTTACAAAATAGGCTCTCCAGTAAACCATGCAAACTTTTGGTATATCAAAGAAGTCATGATACATTGGCGAGACTGATGATGCCATTGGTTGTACCTTTTCAAAATTAGCAATACATTAATCCTATTTCCGCTTGTATATATTGCTACCAACAACCTTACAGTCAAGACATCATCAATTCAATTTAACCAATATATAATAGCTTCTTTGATGTACCAAAAGGTGGCAGGGTTTATCCTATTTTTTCTTGGACACATTGCTACCTACAACATATGACATCATCAATCTAGCCAATATATCATAGTTTCTTTGATATACCAAAAGGTGGCAAAGTTTATTGGAAAGGTCTATTAAAAGTAAGATTCCTTTGAGATGATCCCACAGCCAGGTCCTTTAAAAACCAAATGCAACCAATAGGACCCAATCCTCGTATATCTACATTGGTCTTCTTGGCCAAATCACATAACATTGTAGATGGAATTGTTCTTATGCGAATTCACTATACTTCAGAATTCCTACTGATTACAGTGATTAGCCCATGCCACAAATGCCACGAATTATGGATTTTGCTGTCATAATACAGTACATTAAAATTACATGATTTTGCACTAAGACTGCAGTTCCATAGTATTTTCCTTAGAATCACTTAATTTGATGATAATCCTTATTTTATGTCTATAACTAGGAAGACTATTGCTTTGTTCATTCTGGATTAGCTTTTCACAATTTATGATAATCAGGCTATGTAAGCATCTTCCATAAGACGGGGGTTAAAATTTTACTTGATTAATCGAGTGTAATCTCGATTAATCATTGTCAGGTTAACAGTAGAGGTGATAACTATACAAGTCATATTAAACAATGTTTGAGTATTAACTGAATGCTTATATTTATAGGGTACATGCGTCCACTTTGTCTCGTAATTATTTTCAGTCAGTAGTAATAGTATCAGGACCCACTGAAACAGGGACCAGAAATCTGCTTGGACTGAAACAACCTATAGTACACATCAGGCATACTAAAAACACACATCTTCAATCTTATAGAAGCATGATAAACAAGGCATTAACTTGCAAAATGTCACTACCTGTCATTTGTTACAGACACTGAGCCAAATACCGTCTACAAAAAAGTTGAGACTATAACAATATGTCAGTGGTGACATAAAAAGCATGAGAAATGCAAACTTCAGAAATTACTTCCATATGAGTGATATTGGTCTATATGCTAAAAGATTGCCTAATGTATACTATGGGTTGTCTTGTCCACGCTACCAATTCCTGGTCAGTGTTTCAATTGGTACAGATACGACGTCACTTATGTAAATGCATCTAAATTTTGAGACTATCGAAACATAGATGCATCCTTAACCAAATTGCTGAAGCAACAGGATAAGTCAGTGTTGATCCTGTAAAAATAAATCGCCGTGTTAGCATTATAATCACTGTAAATCCATCTGTAAAACATATTCCTACAATCTTGTTAGAGGCAACTGTACTGTCCCATTTGATCTTGCTTTTAATCAAATCCAAATTACACTGCACAAATCAGGAATATTATAAGATAACACATTCGCAGATAATCCAAATTCCAATGCCAGTTTTCAGTTTTTAGAGGAATTCCAAATCGCACTAGTCACACAGTTAGGTCTCTGAGGGTTGATATCTTTCTGAGTTAATCATGTCAATATCCAACAGTACTGTATGGTACTGTTTTGGCTATGGTATTGTACGATTCCATAAATATGGTATCGCACTGTATCGTAGAATAAAACATTACCATGTGGTACCATGAATGGTACTGTACACTAAATGTAAGATAAGGTACCGTGATTTCAGAGTGCAGAATGGGGATGTAGATGACGATCAAGTTGTTCCTTTATATTTGATCAGTAGATAAGGTTAATATCCAACCGAACCAATTCATTAAGTTCATCCAATTTTGATATGTCTTTGCAGCTATGTGTTATGGTTTGTTTGACATTGACTACGTACCTCTCACTCATATTACAATGCATGAATGTTTTAGAGTTCTCGGAGATACATATTCATGTTGATAACACAAACAGAAGTGTTTCGCTCCAAGAATAAAGGTGTTAGAATAGTCTCAAATTTTTCTTTGATGTTCCTTTGCTATCATAACTTTTTTAACACAATATATTTTTTTTCATTTTTGCTACTACTGAGTATCGTTTTTAGAAATCATTACACTCTATTAACTAGGTGGCACCAGGTCCATTTATAAATAAAAAATATTTTGACCACAATATCTGAACTTCAATATGGCCAAAATCATGAAAGATATGATAGATATCCCAATTCCACAATGTGTTATTCGGTGATGTTCATATTACGGAGGTTAAGCTATACATTTTAAGAGAACTTGTACATGAATGTGTAATAATTATGACCCCCAGGGATTACGCTCCCCCTCTCCATTGGTTTTTCCAGGGACTTAATTCAAACTATTTTTCTCATACCTTTATACTCAATTAGACAACTAAGTACTACAAAGGGGAGATCTAATCCCTAGAGGACCATCATTCATGTACGAGTTCTCTTAAAAACATATAGCAGAACCTCCTTAATTACTGAATTGTCTTTCATAATATTTCCATTTGTTACAGAGTGATCAAAAATAACTGAAAAGTCACGTTTATGAATCACGATCCACACTACTTTCCAGTAATCTGGTAATACTATAGATATCCGAGACTGGTAGTCTTTCCAAGCTGGTATTGAGTGTCTCCCCACAAATTGTCCATTTATGTTTATTCTCACTTTGACTGCTAATTACAGAAGGTATTATTTCCGATACCGATGACAGCCTTGGCCTTTGATGGTTTTCAAACATGTTGGACTTCACGTTCAGTTTATCCATTATAGATGTAACTTCTAGATTTCAGGATTTTTTCAAGGAACTATTTCATTTTCTGATGAACCATATGTGCAAGTTTCCAACGCAGCACCCGTGAGTCTAAAACTATGATCACCATACGATTCAGAGTTTATGAAGACACCAGTCCACCAGTGAACGTTATATAACAACTTCTTAGTATGTCAGCAATAGACTTGGGTTATAGATGGTTATAACTGCTGTCTCCAATTTATATAGTGCGAGCACATTAGTCAATACACACTGTAATTAGAACAGATAGTCCTGGCACATGACATGGCGTAGAATCTAGACCCAGTCAAGAAGTCAAGCATTAGAAAATTCATAGCCAATCAGGTTGGTAATTTGTGAGTATGAGTATAATAGAATAAAGGACCAGAAGTGGTATGGGAGAGACTTAACACCATCAAGAATTCTTGCTTAATGATGTCATTGAGTAATTCCACATAACACTCCCGATCCTTTATGTCACAATCAAAACAGGCACAGTTATTTCATAAAATTGGCTATGAAATTTCCAAATGATGTGGTTGGCAAACTAGATTTCAATGCATATCAAAGTATGGTATTTTCCAATATGCTACACTGATTAATTCAACCACGACTTCAGAATTTCCACTTTGAATGGTTGCATCAACTTAAACTTATCTCATTTATTAACATTTTACCAAATTGGTGACAAAAACTTAAACACCATTTGGTATTCTCATAAAATAAAACACTGTCGCACAAAATCTCCATAGTACTGTCGTATTAAACAACCGGGAAAAAGATATTCCAAATGTCTTTTGGTTTCGAAATAACACTGTATCACTCCCATGTCATCACGCAACGAATCACACAATGTGCCAACATTATGGAAAACGTTTTTAATCGTTATTGTTAATTGTGTACTTCCTTCGGCTTTTCCTCCAAGATTCAAAGACGCATGGAATCAAAGTGCTGTGAAAAACTCATTAATGTAAACATCAAACGAAAACATGAGCTTAATTTATTAAGCTATAGTGTAACAGATTATTAGCTTCAAAAGCACGCCCATATTATACCGATTAACGAAATGCTCCTGAATGGTTATAACTGTACGTAAAGTGTCATACAGTCAGTAAATTAATATCAGTGTTTCAAACGCAACCACAGTTAGGTTCACACTACACCCGGGAGTGTTTTCAACAAAATCAAATTATACTATTCATTAATATCAATGCCATTCGATCTAATATTTTTTAATCCATTGCGCGGCCTTATTCGTAGTATCATAGTACTGTGAAATCACCATATTGTCCGATCCATTATATTGTCTGATCCATTATATTGTCCGATCCCTGATATTGTCCAATCCATTATATAATGTCCAATCCTCCACTTGTATTTACATTTGTATTGTCTGATTCGCTATCTTGTCTGATCCTGATTATTATCGATTCAATGCTTGTCCAATTCACAAAACTAGCCGATCTTTAATAATATGAATTCAAATGTTCAACTGTCACATTATTATTGGGTCCTAAGTGTTTCCAAGATGCTAACATGTAGAGGCTACGCTTTCTTGTTTTATATACAGAACAAGCATGTATAGATAAGTTCTTGTTTAGTCTATCACTACTGTACTTTATATTTCCACTGATGTGATGTCACTAAATACTGGTGTGCTACATAATGTGTTCTTACTAGATATGTATCACCAGATTGCAATGTATATATGGAGGCAGCACCCTCATTTGTGTAGGTAGCGCCATCTTTCACGAACAGGTGTTGGCAAAAAAGGCAGAAACAAAATTAGAGATTAATTTTTTTACCACATGTATTTTTCACACTACATGTATTTAGAAACCACTCATACATCATTAGTGTTACTTTTTTCAATACGAACTATGGTGTCAATGTCATGTCTGTGCTGTTTGCTCAATTCAGTAACCCCCCAACCCTATTCTCGATATTGCAAACCACAGTAACAGGACATGTATACATAATCCCAATTCTAAAGTACGACTTATGTACACAATAGCTTTTGCCCTGATGACAACTCATGTATAAAAAGGTTAAAAATCTTGAATAACCCTATCCACCATTAAGAAATAAACCCTCACCTAAATCTATATCCAAACCTTCTCTCTGATCAGAAGATTCTTCTTGACCTTGACCTCAACTATAACAGGAAGTCATTAGTGGGATTTTCTAACCAGACTCCCATTTTACTATTTCTGCCCTTTCTTCCAACACCTCGTGAACTCATTTGTGCATGATTATGGCGCTTTTTAACCTTTTCGAACCACTTAATTTTTTTCGCAATTCCTCTCTTTGTATCTCTGCCTTGCGTTCCTCTAATGTTCGATAGTTTTTTAGAATACGATTTCTGAGTTCTTTTTCTTGCTGTTCAAGTTTTTCCTTTTTGCGCTTTTGGGCAAGAATTTTGCGTTTCTCTTGAAGCATTTTGATCTTCTTTTCCTTTTCTACTTGTCGCCTTCTCTCCTCTTCTAATTCGTGTTCCTTTTTCACAAGTTCTTCCTTTTCTTTTATTGCCTGCAAACACATCAAAAAGTATATAATATTAAAAACAAACACAGTTTTACAATGAATCAGATGCGAGTAGGTAGTTTCGCCACCAGGTAGCTTGTGCTTGTTCGGGTCAGATAGCATGGCAAGTATAGCAAAAAGTTCCCTTTAACTTTATATTCATGTGTTTTAGTGACTCAATTCTCATATCACCCTTATGTATCTAATAGTTATGTAAATTAAAATATGTCCAGTAAAGGAAAATGTTATCTGCCCATTTAACTTTTTGTGATTTTATAACATGGGTTCAATGGGGAATCTCCGAAAACTAGAAGTCACATTTTCAAAAAAATTAACAAATTTTCAAAGTTGATAAACTATTTTCGAAACCATATTTCTAGATGTCCTATTACTTGTTGATTTTAAATATGACTTCACTTTGAATTTTGAATATTTAATGATGTAAATCAAGATTATATCTACTCACATCTAGTCTATTAACTTAAATTTTACTGCTCATGAAATATGTACGTTTAACATGTAAAAATTGTTCTGCCTCATGGCCAGCTAAGCAATAATATTTTAAAAACTGTAAGGTTTAGTACAAAACCTTACTTTCAGTCTTTTGAGAATCTCTTTCATGATTCGTATAGATTCTAATTTCCTCTGAGTAATGATCATCTTTCTCTCTTCTCGTGCTATCCTAAGCTGCATACGACGTTGCTCTTCTTGGCGCTTTCTCTCTAGATTTTTTTCATGACGTTTGATTTCCCGCATTTTTCTCCTTTCCTCCTTTTTCTTCTGTTTTTCCATAAGTTTTCTTTGTTTTTCTTCTTTCTCCTGTTCTTGCCTTCTCCTAAAATGCAAAACCAATTCAATTTTGAACATTCTTCCATACAAGCATTGTGTCATGAAAAAAGTATAAAATTTGTTTAACGAGGAAATGAAACTGTAATGAATACTGTAGATTGGGTTAATTTGGCACCCGCTTTAATTTGGCGAATTTGGCGAAATTGAAAAATTCGCCAATATAAATCTTCGCCAAAATTTAGAATGAATCCCCGGGAATTATCTAGGGTATTTCGTCCAGTGTATTTAGGTCATTTCCGGTTTAGTTTTTTCCAAAAATATGAAAAATGTCTCTCATAAACTGGCTCAGAACTGGTCCGTCACTCATTAATACTCAGGGAAAAACTAGAAAGGAAAAGCATGGTAAAGTAGCAGCATCGATCGAGGTGCAAAATGTAAAGGATGATCCCACAAAAATGTACAAACGTGGTGAATATCGCTAGTGGTCCTCAAAAGAACATAGCCAAACATGCCCATTTACATGGCAATTCGCAAACAGCGCGGCGCGTAAGTTAATTAAATTTTTTTTGCATATCTGCCAAATTAAATAGCCGCCAATATGCCAAAAATGGCAAAATCGCCAAATTAAGTAGCGCCAAATTAACCCAATCTACAGTATCCAAATATTGAAATAAGAGAATCTAGAATTCAGAAATAATTTTCCAGTCTCATTTTTGAAATATCAGGCATTATGGGTAAAAAAATTTCCAGAACTTGGTGCCATGTAACATCTTTCTAAGGAATGAACCATAATTTAAACATACAGCATTAATATGCAAAATGTCACCATTTGCCATTTGTTACAGACACTGACCACCGAATACCAACCATCAAAAACCAAACAATACTTTTGGTAGCGTGATAAAATAAAACACACTGGCATTTACATGCAAAAGGTCACATCACTATCTGAACACTATCCGCCAGACAATGTCCACAAAAAGGTTAGAGACATAATAAATGACATGAGACTGGTGTACCTTTCATCTTCTCGTTTATCTTCCCGCTGCCTCTCCAGTTGAGCCAACATTTCCCTCTCCAGACGACGTTTGCGGATGTTTTTGTCAGTTAGATGCTTTAACTTGTCAAAGTCAACCTGAAATATGAATATCCAAAGAAGTACATTTTTGCTTGTGGATAGAAAATACATGATCATTCACTTTTATTCCCACAAAATTAATGACTCACTACACTGGCTCACTGCATTGGGAGGTTGTGGGTTTGATTCCCACCAGGGTGGAGTGACTTTTTCACATCAGCCCTTAACGTAGGATTTGATCGTATGTTTTAAGATTAACTAATTGGGAAATTATTTCATATTTAGTTTTGACAAGCATATTTTGAATTGACTGGCAAAAAATTATCTTTATACAGATTTTTATGTGAAACTGTGTCAACAGAAAAACTTTGATATTTGAAGTGATTGTTTTGATGGGGTCTTGGGTGGTTTTTTGATTATCTACAATTTTTAGGGGGACCATTCCTTAGCTTGAAAATACCTCTTGGCTTTAAAACATTTGACTAAATCTTTATAAATGATATTTACCTTTATTGGAGCAACAAAGGCTTTTCCTTCATCATCTTTGAACATGAGCTTCTTATCACGGAGGGCATTCATGCATTTTACAAATCCCATATACTCTTTATACTGGAGATAAACTTCAAAAGTGAGATCTGGACCAAAAGTACTAAACTGTTGGACACGCTGTACTGGAGCGGTTGCGGTCCCAGCACTTCCTTTTATTTTACTTAGCACCATTTCTTGCCTATAGGGATCTAGACATGGGATATCCATGCATCGAATCTCACCAAATTGTTCAAATATTTTCTGTATGAGGTATTCACTTGGTTTGTCTTTTACATCATCGTTACGATTAACAAACCATCTTATAGGGAGATCTTTCATATGTACAGTGTCTGGTCTTTCACCGGCTTTCATTTCGTTCATATTTTTGGCATCACGGAAAAATGAATCCCAATCATGGCGACTAGGAAATGTTGACTTTGCTTCTGCAGCTCGTACTTTTAAAGTATCTGGAAATCCACTGAGTTTGATTGTTTTACTATCTAGTCTTGTGATCATCAGTTTGATCAAAGCTTTATTGTCCGCCTCGCCTTCAAACCTGATAAACTCAAGTGTACTTTTAACAACTTTTAACTGTGTGAACTGGTCAGGTCTGACGAAATGTTTAATTTTCTCCATCACTTCCCAATTCGATATAGATTTTCCTGGGTTTTTGATGGATGGTAGCTGAACGCTGACATTAAGCCTAGCAAGTGGTTTCAAGAATAGGCCATGGGGTTCAAACAGCTCCACGCACTCTGATGTATCATTGCATATAGATGTTGCCATGTTGTACAGCAACTCAGGCTTCAAAACTGAAACGAAAAACGGAAAACATGTTTAGATTGAAAAGAAAAACATTGGATCAAAAATAATTTTAGTAAAATATATCTCATGAATAGCTAGAAAGTCATTTTGCACAAACTAATTTTTTATGAGATGAGGTGACTAGTATTAATATACTGAAACAGAAGGACTAAATGACCTTTGGCGATTAGAATTCAAGTGAATTTGTTTATGGATACTCGGGGGTTTCTTTAGCAGGTAACAGGCAATTTTCATGTTGTTTTCACAAAATCGCCTGTTGTTTTAGGGACTTTTCAACTTTTCCCTGTTAAATTTATGATTTCCATTAATTTTGCCAGTTGTTTCGTTTATTTAGCCTGTTGTGAGAAATTCTAGTGAAACACCTGGATACTAGTACTGAGTATTTCACAGTATTATCACTTCTTTTATGTAAAATATAGACAAGATTTTTACCAGGTATGATTTGACGTAGATCATTAGTATTTCTTATATGTGTGAAGTTCCGACGAAATTCATACTAAACATTGATGCCTATAAGCACCCTCGTTTTTTCAAATTCAGTTTTATTTGCTTGGTGGTATAATAAAACATTTGAATAATTACTCTGACTTGCACATTGACTTATTCCTCACAATTTACTGCCTTGAGTTGGCTAGTGCATTAGGCTCAAGGAGCTGGTAGTGCTGCAGATTAAGGTAGAACAAATTCGCAAGAATAACACAACAAGAACACAAATGTGTACAATATGTCCCCACCAATGGGTGATCCCGTCTAATGGTTATTCTGAAAATGAGTAGACAAGACTTTACTGTTACAATTTTGGAACAGAAAATGCAAAATGGCCACCTTAAAATTTACCAAGAATGCCCAAAAAATTAGTCAGCTGTAGATTTTCATACTAAGAACCATCCCTGAAAATTTGAAATTGATCCGTCAAACAGTAAACCAGAAAACGCGTAAACAAGACTTTACAGACAAGATTTTAGGAAAATTACCAATCTCTAAAATGACATTTCCGCATGTCCGTTATTGTGTCTGTTCATCCCGGGTTAAAATTTAAACTATTAGCGAAAAGAAATTGTTGTCAAATAGATTGATAATTATCACGCGATTACTCGGGCTAAAAAGATCAATTTTGAGGATAACAGGTATCTTTGATTGATTTATAGCGCTTGTATACACGCAAAATAGTTATTAATTGCAAACCTACTGTTCGTTGATGCAGTGTCGCAATGATGGTTAATTCCTGATACGATTTGTAATTTCGATGTTACCGGAGCTGACCGACATTTTCGTAAAATTCCAAACCTGTCTCGTAATTATGCATCAATAGGGTCTAAGGGGGATACGGGATGGTGTGTATGTATTTATAAGGTATGTTTGCATGCTTGAATCATATTTTATGCAATATTACCATGTTTTCAGAGTTTAATTAGTTCCGCTTGTCGGAACCAGCGGAATGATTAATTAACACATCAAGGGCAAAATGGTCATGGAGGTTAGACCTAGCCGGGGCCATAAGACATGTCAGATAAGAAAGGAGGCCCAGGCTAGGTCTAATGTTGTTGGACTACCTCCCGATGTACTCACATCAACCCACCTTTTTATCAACTAATTTTTCAAAAAAAACTTGCCATTCATACTAGTATTGTTTTCCTGAGGATCTGAAACTCTGTTGCGTACCCATCTTTTGAAAGCCCCTGCCAGAGCTGACAGTCGGTAGAGTTTACTTCCTGCGAAAGCTATTTGGATTTTGATATAATAGCTTTCCCACGGAGCATTTGGACAGCTGAATGATTGTGACCTTTGAAATCGAATTAAGTCGATCCGTGGCTTACTTTTGGTCTCTAACTGTGTCTTACATCAGTATCATCAATCCGTGTAAGTATTGGAGCGCTGGAGTACTTCTTTTTCGATCAAGACTTGTAATTGTTAGTTGAGTGAATCGTTTTACTGCCAAATTCCAATATGGCGGTTTCTGCTCGGACATTTTCATAAATCTCCGGAGGTTGTCCGAACCTAACTAATTCTCAAAATTCATTTCATTCGTTGCGTATCTCGCACCTAACAAACCGCCATATTGGAAATAGGTCTAAAAAACTTTCACTCGATGAACAATTTACAAGTCTTGATCGAAAAAGAAGTACTCCAGCGCTCCAATACTTACACGGATTGATGATACTGATGTAAGACACAGTTAGAGACCAAAAGTAAGCCGCGGATCGACTTAATTCGATTTCAAAGGTCACTATTGATCAGCTGTTCACTTTTCCGTTTGAGAGCCATAAGTTTCAAAATCTAACATGGCTCTCGAAGTGAGTAAGGTAGAGTAAGTAAAATCTGTTATAAACCACACTATAATTGATCTAGACGGTGAACACCGCCTCTAATGCGTTGGATTGTCGTATGGACTTGCATTAGAGGCGGTGTTTATCCTTGTAAATTCATGCCAATCTAAGTTTTTCTTGATTATTTTTGACGGTTCACTTTAGTTTAATCTTCTGCTTAAATCTCTGCGTCATTTACAGAGAAATATAAACAAAATGGATACATTGATGATTTATACAAAAGATTACCATATCTTTGTGGTTGTAGAAGGTTGAATTGTGCTAATTTTGTAGCAAAATCGCCGTTTATCGCTAATGTTCACAAAATCTTTATGGCTGTTACAGTATTATGTTCTATTATATTCACATTAAGTTTAGTTTATCTATATGTATATACTGTAACTGATCTTTATTAGAGATCTTGGGTCAAGGTCACAATGACATTATACACTGTATCTTGTAAACAGAACTGAACTGAATGACTCGTTAACTCTTGACCATCCAGAGAGTTCTAGAAAATATAAACACGATCCTCAGAGACCCAGAGGGTGCATTAATGCACCTATAATTGATCCAGCGTGAAACACACAAATGATGTGTTCATATTACCTTAAAAGAGTCCTCAATGCATCCTTTATTTCACGTAAACAGCTGATTTTCTGATAGAAAACAAAAAAATGAAAAAACACAGATTATCGTTGCGCATGCGTTTTGATTACACCGAACGAAGTGTCAAAGTCGGGACCGATCATTGTGCAAAACTGTCCCTACTTTACTATACCCGGGAATACAGTATCACGAGGTTTTACAATTTACAAATAATCAATCAATATTTAGGCCATAAGAAGTATATTCTTAGTTTTGCGTCCTGGCAAAATTCAATTCATGCAAGGGTACAAGGAAAACATTTGAAGTTTATTCCATTTGGAATATGATGTTTTTAATGAATCTGAATGCCATCTATTTATCACGTAATTGTTTGTCCATTTATCTTTTGGATAGTTTCCAGGTTTTCTAATCCTTTAGCGGGTAGTGTAATTGGCATCTTTTCAATTTATATGAATGCATGGTTGACCCCAGTTTCACCAGTGTACTTTATAAAGACATTCAGTTCAGTATGTAAGACAGTCCACAACACGTGGAAATTTCAACATCAGAACTCCAGTCGAGTTATTGGCTACCTACGCTAAAAAGATTATCAATTAAATGTAAAAGCGAAAACTTCATGCTTGGGCGTTTTTGGGCCGTGTTCATTTACGCTAAATGCTCATATTTAATGTTTTGATAGTAAATGAATAAATAAAAGCCTACTTTTAGCCCAAACATCAGTTTTCTCTGTGTTATATTATAATGAAGAGTGTACATTAATGAAGTTTATTCCATTTGGAATAATGTTTTTAATGAATCTGAATGCCATATATTTATCACGTAATTGTTTGTCCATTTATCTTTTGGATAGTTTCCAGGTTTTCTAATCCTTTAGCGGGTAGTGTAATTGGCATCTTTTCAATTTATATGAATGCATGGTTGACCCCAGTTTCACCAGTGTACTTTATAAAGACATTCAGTTCAGTATGTAAGACAGTCCACAACACGTGGAAATTTCAACACCCTCTTTAAAATCCCTCCCACCCAATGTTTTCATTAATTAATATAATTAATTATACATTTAAATAAGTGAAAACAAGAGATATTGTTTTTTATGTGTGTCTTTGTATGTGTTTTTATTTCATTCGTTCTAATGTATGATATGTTATATATTTAAGTTCAGTATGTATTATATGTTATTTTATAATCAGGCCGTGTTCATTTACGCTAAATGCTCATATTTAATGTTTTGATAGTAAATGAATAAATAAAAGCCTACTTTTAGCCCAAACATCAGTTTTCTCTGTGTTATATTATAATGAAGAGTGTACATTAATAAAACAAACACAAACTCAAGAAAAAACACAACTTGTTTGCTGACGGAAATATATACATTTTATGGGCATAAAAAGGGATGACATACCAATTTGCAGTAATTACGAACACATATCTAATAAATTTAAACATAGCTATTATTCAAGGGTAAAAAATAAGAAAATACACAATGTATGCCAAAGTAATCAATAACACTGTCATCTTTGACGCACATCAAATTATCTGCCATTTCGTCTGATTCTGATTGAACGAAATGCGATGGCACTTTCAGACCCTTGTGATTGCTATTTGGATGTGTTTGGTTTTTCTCTGATTTACTCAAAATCGTGCAAGCAAGGGGACGCAAAACAAAGAATCTACTTCTTATGGCCTTATTACTATTAAGACTACTTCCCAGGGGCCTACTTAGTATTATCAAAACCTTGTCATATTTTACATGTAATATAACACAACATGAAAGTTTGTTATTACTTTCATTTACAGCCCATTGGCCTTCTTTTGCAGTTTGAACCCCGTTCCCTTTTATGCACCCATCGGGCTTTCAAGAGAAAAATAATGTAGTCACAGTACTGTCAACCCCCAAAGATTTTCTCGCGGGACAGATTTTTTAGACCCAGTGCCAAAAATTCGCGGGATTTTGCGGGACACCCACCTAAATTCACGGGATTTCGGATACTGGGTATCGTCCGGTGTTACGACGTAGGAGAGACTGGGGTGGGTGGACATGGCAGTTAAAGACTATTAGTTACTAAAATGCTGATATCATATTTTTAGACTATTCAACTGCTCATAAATAATTGATACTTGGATATATCCGGAACTTGATTCCAACATTGTTACCACCAACAAATCCTACGTTAAAGGTAACTTAGTCTATTGTTTTAGAATGCCTTAATTTTTAGTTGCTAAAACTTTTACTTTACAATGTGTGGATTTCGATTATATTTCTGCTAGGAACACAGCAATCAATTATACAATTGCAATGGATTCCAAAATGACATAATCATAGCAGTGTTAAATGAGTAAGGTTGTCAGAAAATATAGATCGTCATTATTCAATTCAAATTCAACATGCACATAATGTGATTCTAAAACATTGAATAGCTTGCAAAATAAAGAGAATAATCCAAAGATGTTACAATCACAATTTAGCTTTGAGATGTTGAGAAGATTTTAGTAAACGTAAGAGTCAATGAAATAAGTCAAGGTGAAAAACAATTTTATTTTGGGTTCCAATAGAAAAAATAAATTAAATCACATGTTTTCATTACTTCAAATACTTCTAAACCATTCACTAAACAGGCCCGTAGCCAGGGGGGGGGGGCTCGGGGGGCTCGTGCGAGCCCCCCCCCCCCAGATATCTCCTAAAATAATGTGGACATACCTTTTTTGCTTTCTTGAAGAATTTTCTGACATTTCGAGGTAGATTGTAACATTTGGTGACATATGTACGGTGTATTTTGATGTGATTGCCACTTTCTTTTTATAAAATTCTAAATTGACTAGAATAGCGAGGCAACTAAATGATCAGAAATTAATCATATTTTGATCCTTTAATCGCTCAGAAGGTGCCAAATAAGCCTAAATATTCAATTTTTATATAAATACATAAATCATTTATTTTGATCCTCGAATTGCTAAAAACGCACTAAATGCAGTCAATGCTCATAAAGTGGTTGCGGTATTGCCGCAACGATAGCAGTTGCGCTCATGCCGCAATATTAATGTCAAATTCAGTGCTAATATTATTTATTAAATTTGAGAGTTAAAAAATAAGTATTTATTTACAAAGTAAATAATAAATAAAATCATAATGTTTGGAGGCGGTTTTCTGAAGACAAATAATGATATGCTGATTCCTGACAGGCACAGATATATTTACTCCTGATCTACAACAAAAATGGCGGACTCTGGGTAAGTTGGCACGTTTTTATTTCTATTTGTTCAACTTATTATGTTGGGAGGAAGAGTGTGGGGTATACTCGGCCATGGGTACACGTAAATAAACTCGGGGGAGGGGGTATGTATGCAATTCTTGGGGGGCGGTCCTATAGGCCTAGGATCAGGACGATCTTTTTTGTAGACACCGGTGGGCCAAATTTCAAATTAAATTCCTTAACTTTATTGTATTTTAATCCACATCAGGGGTCATATCCAAAGCATTTTAGTTACCGGATTTTCTCGCATATACGCCCCCCTAAATTTAGGCCCCCGAAAATCGAATATAGTACGCTTATACGCCCATGGGCCTATAAAAAATGACTATTTATTGATTTTTTCAATAAATTCAAGAGTATTTTGTCACTGGCAGATCGTTCTGTCGTACTTTGTTTCATTGTATTAACATTCATTAACAACTTAACATTCCATTGTATTCATCAGCTCTTCTCACCATTACGCCCACTGGGCCAAAAATCGAAAGTAGTACACTTATACGCCCATGGGCGAAAAATAAGAGGTAAAATAACAGACGAAATTGCCCCTTCTTTCAGTTATACGCCCAGGGCTTATATGCGAGAAAATCCGGTAACTATAGCTATAAACATGGGCTCTACCATGATAGAGCCCATATGCTATAAACGAGATGAGATCCGTCGAACTTCGATGTATGCGGTTACATATTGACCTGACCTAGACTATATCCTCTAGTCTGAAATTTTTTTGAAATTTGGATATAGACTAGACCTGACCATGGGGCTTTTTTGACATTGGCTTATATTTCCGTTTAACGAAGTCCGCCATGTTTGTTTTTGAAAAATTTTAAAAGAAGATTGAAATCACCAACAGGCGAGATCTTATTCAAGACGACTGACCCAGAAATTATTAATTATCGGCAATTGTCGAAAATAGTTCCCTATGGACTAACAAGGGTCATGTCTTATCCAATTCCAGGACTTATAGACCTGCACCTCCCTGGTAATCTGGTAATGTTTTCAATCAAACTGTGTCAAATATACAAGTGTATTAGTCGCATAAATATAATTAAAAGCGATGAAATCAAGTTTTGATTTGATTTGAGAGTATGACCTTCAGTTATTATTGATAGTAGGAATCGACGGGGCGGAATCACTCACAGTTAAAAATAAATCAATAAACTACGATCTTTACAAGCTACACTTTTTTACAATTTTTTATCCAATATTGCATTTATGGTACATCCAGGCCGTCCAACTGTCCCGCAATTTGCGTATTTGTCACGCATTTGCTGGAAAATTTGAAGTCACGACAGTTTTTTTTTTGCGTGACAGAGTTTGTCATGCAAATATGCAATTTACCTGATTATTGTCCAGCAAAAATATTCCTGTAGAAAAACTTTCAAAAATGATCGGTGATACACCACAAAACCGAACGACGAAAAAAAAATGAACGCATTTCGTTCAGACTTTTCACGCGGATATGGTATATGTCACGCATTTTGCCTGAAATATTTCATACCTGCCCTACTACAAATTCTCAGGTGTTTAAATCTGATGTAAATCTGATTTAATTAACTTTAATGACCTTCTCAAGGTCAAAAAAGATTCATTATATTGTGAGCAATTATGTGGTGACATTTTGACGTGTTAATGCCTTGTTTCAAATTTTGTGATCATGACAAGACTCATATATAGCAGAATAAATATTCACATTTCACAAGTAGTAAAATTTATTATCTAATAATCACGGTGTTATAGCATGACGGTTACGACAAGGCGATTTGCAAAATTTTGCGGTAATGATTACAAAAAATGGTGGATGGGAAAGACAGCATGTCCTCTTTCTCGCCTGTAGGCAAGATTCACAGATAAGATTTCCTTTTTAAC